GTAGACTCTTTAAGGATGGTGCCACAATAGCGAACGTCAGTACATCCATAAGGTAAATTTGATACATGACCAAATTTTCAAGATTAGGACAGCCAGATATAAGGTTACGAAAAGATTCATTGTGCTTGAAATCCACACAATCAAGGTGCAGAGTTCTGAGGGACTTCATACAAACTGGAGAAGGAACATCCACAAGAACCGAATACTTGAGAATCAAGGTCTCAAGTGTATTACTAAAGCTAAACATGCTACTTGGAAATCTGAAATACCTTTTTAAACCAAGATCGAGCACCAACTCACGCACATGACGTTCAAATGCAATTCCAGTCCATATTCCAATATCTATATCATCACATGCTCGTCTAACGTCACTTTTATCACTAAATTTGACATGAAAACTCTCCAAAACCGGAGCTTTGTGTGAAAACAAAGACCTGCCAACATTCATGATATTTAGATTTAAACACAAGTTTGGGTCCTATCTTCCAAAGAGATCACCATCGTTTAACATATAACCAAAAAAATATTTCTAGAATTGAAAATTCTTCGTTAACAGAATTTGTGCCTTCCCTAGCTTTCAGTGCTAGCGTATAACAAACGCAAACGAAAAATGAAGATCATAAAAATTAGGGCTATGATGGTTTGGGCTGAACCGATTGGTTTTGTTTACTATCGGACCGAATGCAATCCAATCAGCTCAAAAATATGTTACCAACCGATGCCAATTTCCATATTTTCGTCTGGTTCAAAAGTGTTCTGCCCCTAAACAGAACATTGTATGGAACAGTAGAAAAAAAAATCATCTTGATCTTCACTATTGACTTATATTGATCCTCAAAATCATAAAAAACTGATGATTGTATCATAACGATAGATAAACATCAGAAGAACTTTCAAGTTTCAACTCCCAACGACTAGCACCATACCCAAGAACTCAAAACCGATCTTACCGGTTAAATCAAAAGGCTCTCTGTGCTAAGAAGAGTCTGATACATCATACGATGCATCGAATTTGAATACAAGGTGGCATGAATTTGAAGCCCTGACCACACCATCCAATTCGTTGAGCACCTTACGTCTCTCTTTCAACTTGTTGTGCTCTTCCGAGTCAATGGGATTTGTCGAGAAAGTTGCTTTCTTCAAGAGTCTTGCGTTCTTTAGAATGTATGTAGCTATTTCTTTCTCTTCTTCTCTTCCCCAATCGAACCTTCTCCACACAAATGTCTCTAAATGTGACAACAAACATTCAGGGACATACTTTGGCTCATTCCATTTGCCGCCGACCACACCATTTTTATGAAAATTTAGACTTCGCTGAGACCAAAGAGACAAGGGGCATTCAATGTATAGCATTACCTAGACCATAAAATATAGCTAGCTGACTAATAATGAAATGCCTTACATCAGTGAGCTTGAGGGCTTGTAGTTTAGGAGAATTTTCGAGCATGAGCGTAAGTAGATTCCACCACTCTGCTTCACGTGTATACATCTCTAGAGATATCAGCTGATAGAAGATACTTCCAGTAGGATATGTAATCTATCCATGAGACCATTTATTAGTGTATAGAAACAATGTGATAACAAAGAACTCAATTGACGATAAAAAGAAAACCCCCAAAAAATTACCTTCAAGGGTGAGAAATTCAATAAAAGACGTTTGACGGAAGTGAGAGATCCAAGAAACTTGTCATTGGTTATAGATGTAACATCACCGATATATGCCTCCATCAGCTCCGGCGCATTCAGACAAAACTCAGGACATCCTAACTCTTCAATTAGTAAGTATTTCAAAGAAGGAGCATTTATCAAATATCCCAAAAACTCTGGTCCATTATTGTTATCATGAACCGTTAGTCTCTGCAAAGAAGGGACCTCAATAGTGAAAACCTTCATATCAGAATCATCACCTCGATACAAACGCAATTCTTCAAGACCAGGGCAGCCAGATAAAAGGTTACGGATAGATGATTCGTCTTTGTAGGTCACAAACTCAAGGTGCAGAGTTCTAAGAGACTTCATAACAACCGGAGAAGAGATATCAACAAGAATACATAGTACCAGTTTCAAAGTCTCAAGTGTGTTACAAGTACACAAGCTACTCGGAAATGTGAAGGTCTCTTGCCCAGCAGGATAAAAATCGAGTACCAATTCACGCAGATGTCGAGAAAACGCAATTCCAACCCAAAGTCCAATATCTACAAAATTAAGTTCTTCTGATCCAAATTGAAGACGAAAACTCTCTAGAACCGGAGCTTTATGTGAAAGGAAAGACTTGCAAACAATCTCTGAAAATGTATAGTGTTCACTTTCGTAATCCTCAGAATCGAACTCGAGAATTGGGACCAACTTCCAAAGAGACCGCCATTGTTTAGACAAAACACTCGTGGCTACGACAATGTTTGTTGGAAGAAAAGACAGTATCTTTAGAAGCAAAGCATCAGGCAACTCACTGATCCTGTCTCTACCCATAACAAGTCGAATTCTCAAACTTTCACCAACAAAACCAAAAGAAGACAAGATTAAGAATTAGGGTTTCGAGCTTACATATAGAACGATTTGTTGGAAGAAAAGACAGAATCAAAGCTTAGTGCAACAGATTCATACTACCCTCATTCATAAAACCTCGATTTCTCAAACTTTTCACTACCAAAATCAAAGAATTAGAGTGCTATATATCGGATTTCAAATGATCTAAACATAAACGAAACAAAGAAACTTACCGTTGTTCCATTGCCGGTGAAATCCTTCAGGTTAATGCTTTTCCAGTGCTAAAATCGCATTTCAACACTCAACAAGTAGAAGAAGAAAGCACTGAAGCTCGCCAATCGAGAGAGACTAGGGCTTTTTATTCAAAATCTCGGTTTTGTTTAAAATCGAACCGAATCAGACCGGTTTACTTATTTATAAAATAATACCAATTTGTTAATGTTCATCATAGAGATAGATGAGATTCAGAAATTTTCAATATCCAATGGCCAAATGTAAAACCATCCCCTGTAACGGGTTAAACTAACAGACTCTATGAAGAGTAATACATATAAGATCATTCGAATTCGAACACAAGGTGGCAAGAATTGTTGGAAGCCCTGACCACACTAGCCAACTCATTGAGCATCTTACGTCTCTCTTCCAACTTCTTAAGGTCTTTCGATTCGATGGAATTTGTGGAGATAGTTGCCTTCTTCAACCGTCTTGCGTTCCGTAGAATGTATGTAGCCACTTCTTGCTCTTCTTGTCTATCCCAACCATATTTTACCCAGACTAATGTCTCGAGGTGAGACAACAAACATTCAGGAACATACTTTGGTTCATTCCATTTCCCGCCGACCAAATCGTCTTTATTCATATACTGGTGAGACAAACGAGACGAGGAATTCAATGCATATCATAACTAGACCATGAAATATAACCCCAAAGAGAGAGCATCAAAAATAGCTAGTTGGATAATAATGAAATGTCTTACATTAACGAGCTTGAGGACTTGTAGTTTAGGAGAGCTATCGAGCATGACCGTAAGTAGATTCCACCACTCTTCTTTACTTGTATGCATCTCTAGATATACCAGTTGGTAGAAGATACTACCAGTAGGATACACAATCTGTGCATGAAACAGTTATTGGTATATACATCTTGTAATAACAATGAGATAACCAAAAAACTCAATAGCGATTAAGTTACCTCCAAGGGTAATAAATCCAACGAAAGACGTTTGGCTGACTTAAGTGATCCAAGAAACTTATCGGCGATGATAAAAGAACCTCCAATAAAATATGCCTCCACCAGCTCCGGTGCATTCAGAGAAAAAAAAAAACCTTTTAACTCTTGGATTGCCAAGTACTTCAAAGAGGGAACGTTAATCGTATATCTTCTAAACCCTTCTCCAAATCTGTCATCATAAATCTCAAGTCTCTTCAAAGATGGGACCTCAATATCGAAATTAACAACATTACCATAATAATCATCTCGATACACAACCAAAGTTTCAAGAATAGGGCAACCAGATAACAAGTTACGGATAGATGCTTCATCTTTGTAGCACACAGAATCAAGGTGCAGAGTTCTAAGAGATTTCAAAAGAACCGGAGAAGGTATATCTACAAGAATCAAAAGTATGAGTTTCAAAGTCTCAAGTGTGTTACAAGTACACAAGCTACTCGGAAATGTGAAGGTCTGCTTCGGGCGAACACAGAGTACTAATTCACGCAAATGTCGAGCAAACGCAAGTCCAATCCAAAGTCCGATATCTACAGGATTAACTTCATCTAATCTTAAACTGAGATCCAAACTCTCTAGAACCGGAGCTTTATGTGAAAGGAAAGACCTGGAAACACTCTCTGAAAATGTATGTTGTTCACTTTCGCCGCAATCCTTACAAACTTCCAAAGAGACCGCCATTGTTTAGACAAAACACTCGTGACAATGACAAGTTTTGTTGGAAGAAAAGACAGAATCTTTAAAATCAAAGCTTCGGGCAACAGATTCATCCTATCCTCATTCATAACACCTCGATTTTGTTACAGAGACAACAATGGCGTTGCTTTCCCAGTGTTATGATCGTATTTCAAACGCTCTAAACGCAAACGCGAAAATGAGAAGGGATTGAAAGCTCACAAATTGAATAGCCGGCCGGTAGGTTTTGGATAATGCGGCGGCGGATACAAATTTTGCTTTAATATGATGACGTGTCACTGATTATGCTAATTTTAAACGATACCTAGTTTGGGCCATTAATGGGCTTAACGTGGGTCAACTTTCCCCGGCGACGGTAGAATTTGTAGGTGAAAAACTCATCATGATAGATTGATAGTAGTTCTGATAAATCTGGTGACTTACATTCGATACGTCGCGCAACCCTGGATGAGAGGTGTTTACCGAAAGCTCGGCAGGCGGAATGCTCAACCATTTGTAAGTTCGCGATTTCTTTGTGATACGCTTGGATTAGTGTGGCTCTGACATTATATGAAGTTCTGAAAGAAGTAGCATGTAGTCAATAAGAATGGGAAGACCAAACATATTCATTAAGTACTAAGCTTGGGGCATACATGAGTAACAGGAAAAAGACAAGAATAAACAAAATTGTATTTTAAAATGAACATGAAAAACCCATAATATACAAAACATAAGTTAAAACGAAACCCCATTTTCACCAGCAAAATCTAAAGAGTCGAAACAAATGGCATAAAGAAGAAAACAACAATGGTTAACATTGACTTTTTTTTGTTCGTTTTGGTGACTTGGTTGGGGGTGTTTTTTCCAAATAAAGAAGACAGAATTATTAAATTACTAATAAGGATTGTAACGGCTTCGTCCTCTACCATTGTCGCTACTTCGTTTGCTGCTGCTGCTGCTGCTTGAACCACTGCCTCCCCTATATGGTGGAGAAGGCCTTGGTGGTGGTTGTGGCATAGCTGCTAGTCCAGGCTGTTGCCTATTACATTTCAACACATCAGATCAGTACACATGTCTTGTAGCAAACGCATGAGATCAGTAGAGTATAAACAATAACTTACAAGACATATCCGATTCTTCCATCGGGTAACATTATTGGCATCATCGACATTCCACCAGCTGCGTGACCTCCAGCATGCATTAATGGCTGCATAATTCCCACAAAATTATACTCAAAATTTCTATTACAAATATCTCCTTAAGAGATAATGATTTGATTGATAAGTAGTAGAAATCTCACTTGTGAGTAGGCAGAAGCTCCAAATCCACCAAGAGCACCAAAGGGATTAGGAGCCATGCCATAACTAAGAAGAGGAGGATAGTTTGGTTGCAATTGTGATTTCTGCACATTCTGAACTGTATTTGTATTCGCCTTTTGATCCGCTTGAGGCTTTGCCAGAGTACAATCCAACATATGACCTGTATATAAATGGGGATACCTTTTAGTATTGAGACATCAAAAGAAGAGAGTATACAGGAAAAGATTATTCGGAATGGACCATACCATCAATCTCATATCTTTCAGTGTTTTTCAAAGCTCGCATGACACTTGTCCTCTCTGCATAGTGCACAAATCCGTATCTACTGTCTTCCTTTCCTGGTTTTGCTGGTGGAATCACCACTTTCAGTATTTTCCCGTGATGTTCAAATAATGCCTTTAGACGTTCTTGTGTTATATCTCTAGGCAAGTTCTTGATGTACAATGCCTTGACCTGCAATCATTCCACACAGCATAATAGTAAGATCTCTTTTCATGGTTTAGAAAGAAAAAACATTTGTAGAACACATGTCTTTATGAAGATAATTTTTTGGTAGTGATAACTGTTGATGCTTCTATTATTTATTTGTAAGAAAGGTTCTAATGAAGCAAACCTGGGAAGCCGAAGAGTCTCCTCCTCCTCCACTCCTTGATTCAGCCCAGCTTACAGTTGGGGCATTATCATCAAGCTTAAAACTCGGATTTGACATTTTTTGTTTCGAGTATTCAGCACATGCATGGTTGTAATACTCGATGAAAGCAAATCCACGATTCCGGCCCATATTTTGTGGTTCCTATGATTTTCACAAAACCAAATAGAAAACTGATCAAGAGTGAGAAAGGTATGTCTTAAATTTCTACAGAAAATTTACTTCTGTAAGTTACAATTATACATGAACTTGAGATGAAAGTTACAGCAATAACTTAATATACACAATAGGCTGAAACTTATCCAAGTTGCAGGAGACAAACCTTTGGGAGTTCGACAATTTGAACGCCTGGACCAATTTTATTCGCTGCTTTCTTAATGTCTGACTCAGTCCAATTTCTAGGAACATTACCAAGAAAGAGACGATGCTTTGCTTGGGTAGTCGAACATTTTATCCTTTTACCCTATTGGGTAACATTAAGTTAACAAACAAATAAGAGCCAGACAAATTCTGAAACACCAATCCATCAAGAATTCTAAGTAACTATTAAGAATTGGGTCAAAGAATTTACTCTGAATTCAGTGCTATTTAGAGTATCGATTGCTTCAGATGCTAAGTCCTTGTTTCTGAATGTCACAAATGCATACCCCTTTCCATCACCAGATTCCTTTTCCCTCATTATCCTAACCTGTTGACATCACACCAAACTCAGCACAAGATAAATAAAACACAACCATAGTTTAGGTAAGAAAATGTCAAGTTACCTCAGTAACTTCTCCTATTGATTGACAGAAGCCCTTTAAGTCCCCTTCAGTAGCATCAGTAGGAATCCCTCCAAGATAAACCTCTGAACCATGCGGAGGAAGTGCAAGGAGTTCAACATGCCTTTTCTTTTCTTCTTCCTCTTCCGTTGCAACGGCATCCTCCTCCTCTTCTTCCACTTCCACCTCCTCCTCTATCTCCTCTTCTATCTCTTCAATCTCCTCCTCCTCTTCTACTTCTTCGTATTCAACTTCCTCCTCCAGAATCTCCTCAGGATCATTGTCACCGTCAAGGTCTACCCTTTCTTCAGACTCCATTGAATCGTGAGCCTCAGAAGCAGCAGTCCTCGTCCTTGACATCTTAAATATCTAGAAAAGAACGCTTGCAGTACAACTGTGGAGGAGACACAGAAGCAAGAAGCAAGTGGGGAGAGAGAATAGAACCGAGGAAAGGTTGGAAAAGAAACAATAAGAGGCCGATAGAAAAGAAGATTAAGAAGTTCGAATCGACTTGCTGCCATAATGCGGCTAAAAAGGAATTCCAAAGTAGTTAACAAAAAAAGGTGACAAACAAATAGACAAGAGAGAAGAGGGTGATGAATGCTCAACAGGTGAAACAAAAACAAGAAAACGAATGACCTGAGAGCGGAAAAAAACCATGATATATCATAGGGCCTTGGTTAGATGCAAAGAAGGTTCAAAATCATGGCAACAAGAAAGATAAGAAGGAAAATAGTATCTCTGAAAAAGCCACTTAGAAAACTCCAGCTCCATGTTAGAATCTCCCACAACAGACATTGTTCAGAATTGCAAGTGAAATTTTTTATGCTGCCAATCTAACCTGTTAAGAGAATCCTCAGCTTATAACTACAATTCTATTTGATTATTTCAGACATTTTTACACGAAATTGACCACAATGATTACCAACCCAATACTCAGAGAAATATCAATCAAAGGCGTTTAAGCTACTTAGCAATCATTGGAACAAAAATGAGAGCACGATTCAGTTATAAAAATTTAAGATAAGAAGAGTTTCAAATCCCAAATTTGGATCCCCAACAAAAAAAAAATCACGAAAGGATACGAAGAGAGGCGCAATGAGACAGAGAGAGAAAGTACCTGAAAGGCGGGAGAGAGAGAGATGTGCCGGAAGAAAACCCTAATTTTGAGAATTACGGAGAGGATGAACAAGTGTTTGTTTATTCGCGCAGCTCAGGTGTTGAAAATTTTGTATGTGTGTGTTTGTATGATATGACCTAAAAGATGCCTAAGCCAAGGAGGTGTGGTCACTTTTATTATGATGCTACCAATCTTATATTACGGGTAATTACCGATCTTAAGATACGACAAATTTGATTTTTATGCAAAAAATACTTTCAAGTTGAATGAAAATTTGCGCCTTTTTCTCTCAAATTTCTTGTTATTTTTCCGAATATATATTCTGTATACGATCAATACAATAAAAACACTAAGAGTCTCTCTATGCCTGACACCTCAGCTTTTTAAGCTATTCTCATGTTGACACCTCATTAAAATTGTCACCCAATAAAAACATTTCGATTAATACAACTCATCATATCTCAACCAATAACAATTTTTCTATGTTTCACATCATTTTTTTGTTAAAACTTATTTATTATCTTGGGCTATTGTTTGAGAAAAAGTGGGCTTATTGTTTGATAAGAAGTGGGCTTATTATTATTCAGATGTCATTAAAATATTAGATAATTATATCATTATGTCTTTTGCTCCTTTGACTAAAGGCCTTACTATTAATCTATTATTATTCGAAATCGTGACAATTTGCCAAAGATCACATGAATATTCCCGTGATCACATTGCAGATATGTACATGTTTATTTTTCTTTACGAATTTTAGTATAAATTGTATAGAAGAATCATAAAAATGATGATGATGATGCATCATCATACTCCGTTTTGACCTCTAGGGCCTTGTGTGGTGGTGGCAGTACAATTAATGGGTAACAAACCATCAATTAAGTCGTTACCAAAGGTACAATTAATGGTTAACAAACCATCCCCTCTATGCCGGAATAGTTTAAAAAAAAAAAGTTGTGAATATTGAATTGTTAAAAATATGACTTTTATTGTTTTGAATTGGATTAATCATAAAAGTATGGGTTACACCATCATAACTTTATAAGATATAGGAATGCAGTAAAAGAATCAAAATAGAGAAAAATCTATGATGATTTGTATTATTGTTATTAGAAGTGTTCACATTTAAATCAAGTAGAGTTAATTATATCTGCAGAGCTAAACAAGATTTTATGATCGTCTGCTTAATCTACATAGGACAATTGTAGTGTTGCATAATTGATATAATTTGAGTTGAGTTAAAAAGTAACTTTGAACGATACTTAAAACATATTCACTTTCGTAATAATGAAAGTAATGTAAATAAAGTAACATCCAATAGCTAGGAAATATATGTTTTACGTATTTAAATGGCTTTGTTAGAGTTTTCTATATTAGTTTAATTACAAAATTTGCGATCCTTATCTTTCTTCGTCGGTATAAGTTTGCATCATAAGAAAACTATTTCATTGAAAATATACGCTATTAACTTTATGATAAGTGAGTTTATGAACCATATCCTTAAATGATAAGTCATGTTAATAAATTCAATATGTTTTATTTAATTGTAATTACAAACTATATGATTAAATTATTACAAATAATATATTAAATAAAAAATATTTCAAAAAGTATCCTGCAGCGTAGCGCGGGTTTCGATCTAGTGTTTTTAAAATTAACACGGTTTCTATAATTAACACAGAGTTTGTTTTATATATAAGAAAATATTTCTTTAAATTATAGTTTTACCCATATACAATATGTTTTTTCAATTTCGAGCCAAAACTTGTCTATCTTGCAAATAATAGCCCAATAAATATTATACCATTTTTAAAAAAAATGAAGCTCAAGCAATAATACAACTCAACAACTATTTTAGCAAAAAATAAAAATAAACGAATTTAAAAAATGTAACATAAAAATTTCGTACAAAAAAAATAATCTTGATGAATGAAAATAAATATTTTTTGTATAAACAAAATGGTTCTACACCAAAGGTCTGGGGTTCGAGTCCCAGATATTGCGATTTATTAATAAATTTGCAGATTAAAGGAGGCAAGTGTGCAGGAGATCTCCAGCGAAGTACAATTATAGCCGTTCGCCAGGATTCTACGTAGAGAGAGAAGTGTCGTCAAATCGTGGATCATTGAAGGTGTCCGTCAAGAGCATGGAGAAGGAAGTGTCGTCTGTCGTGGATCTAATAAGGGTCGGAAGGAATTGTCCGTTGTAGAATCGTCTATGTAACTGTTCTCATAATTTGCAATAAATAATAAATCTAGACGTCAAAAAAAAAAAAACAAAATGGTTCACTTAATTACTTTTAATATATTAAAATCGACACAAAATATGAGTACCTGTTTGAGCAAAACAAAAAAAAAAATAGAGTACCTCAATTTTTCTATATCTTTGGGAATTTTGAAAGTCCGAATCATAAAAGTGGAACAAAGTCATAAGAATCGACACGAAAAATCTCAGTCTTTGACTCAGACTCCCACCGCGTAATTCCGAACTAGGTTTCTAATCTCCGGCGAATCGGAGCTCTCTCTTCCAATTTCCCCCTTGTCGTTTCCCAGGTACTGCCTCTTCCGATTCTGGGCTCGTAATGTTCTATCTTTTATGAAATCGGTCTCATTTCTGGTCCTCCTATCTGCAGCGATGATTTCCGGATAGCTTCCGCTGATTCCAACTTTCTAGCTACAGCTATGGCAATGGGACTTCTTCGTCTTGTTTCTATAGCTTTTACACTTGTTCTAGTTTCAATCCTTCCTCTTCATGTCTCTCTCGCTGGTGAGTTTCGTCGATTTTCTCATCTTTTGTTGATTTTGATACAACATTTTACTTTTAGTTCGTTTGGTTTGTAATTTGATTCATTGAGGTCTCTTTGTCCCACTCTAGATTATCAGTTTTATCTATCTGATCAGTGATCACTGTTTGTTTGTTTCTTGAAAGACCCAACTATGTTAAGATTTTTCATATTTTTTTATTACTGTTTCCAATTTTGTGTAGGTGAGATTACATCTATTGAATCTGTTCCTGACCTTCAGAAGCTAATGTATGTTGCTGTTGATGGGTATCCTTGTGTACGGCTTCTCAATCTTTCTGGAGAGATTGGTTGTTCAAGTAAGCTTCTTTTGGGTCTGCCTTGACTGATTGTTATCTGTTGATGAGTTCTCTTAACTTTTATGTTTATTAATACTCAGATCCTGGATTGAATAAAGTGGTGGCTCCAATCATAAAATTAAAGGACGTTAAAGATTTAGTTCAGCCACACACTATTTTGGTTACAGCTGATGAAATGGAAGAATTCTTTACCAGGCATGTCTCCTTTGTCATTTAAAAAAGTTGTATGACCTCTATTCGGTTTTGTAATTAATCTCTTAACTTGTGGAGTAGTGCTTGACCCTGCACTAAGCAGCATATACCTATGCATGAAATAGGTCTAGTTGTCATTTAATTCCTTAATGTCAAACAAGATTTGGCTTGTGGTGTGCGCCAAATCAGCTTGTAATTACAGAGTTCGTTTTCACTAGTACTTTAGTATTTAAGGCAAATCATTTTAGTTTTCTTCTTTTGCATAAGAGTGAAACAACAGATTGCAATGAGTATACCCTCTTTTTGAACTCTGCTATACATGTAGTCACTTGGTTGTTCGCTTTATTTTCATTCGACAAATTGAAAGTAGGTATCTCTACGCACTTTACACTAGAATCCTGCAGTCTGGCTTACTTCTGGCATTGTTCATTAGACTTGTTCATCGCTTAGACACTCTATTCAGTAGAAATAACAAAGGATCACTCCTCTTTGTGCCCTTTCCAGGGTGTCAAGTGATTTGAGCTTTGCTAGCAAAATTGGTGGTGTTCTAGTTCAATCGGGAACTAATTTCCAACAAAAGTTAAAAGGTACCATATCGATCCACATATTTATGATTCTGTCAACTTGAATGGCTATTTGCTTATATATTGATTTCTTTCCTTGATTCCCTCAAACACAGTACTTGATACTTCTTATATATGTTCATGGTGCAAGTGTTTCTTTCTTATTTTTTGTAGGCTTTTCTCCTGATAAAAAGTTTCCTCAAGCGCAGTTTTCACCCTATGAAAACGTCGAGTACAAATGGAATTCAGCTGTATGGTAGCATAAACTCTGTCTGAATCTTTGAAGTTACTTCTTCCTGTGAACTCTTTTGTAGTGGGTTGGAAATTGTTTCAATCAGTTATCACCAAATCCATAGTCAAGCATTTCTGAGTTATATGCTGTTTCCTTCTGGAACTAACACACAAATACCATAAATCCTTTTCTTTATAGTTTATTTTTGGTATACTTTTACAAGAGGAATAGATGTAACTGCCTATATGATCACTTATAAAGAAGTTCATAAATCAGTTGCATATTTATCTACCTTAATAAAAAGATAGTTCCTCTTATTGTTTTTCTGTGAAGAAAAAATGATTTTAATTCTTATGAGTAGTTGCAGTCTTGCAGGCGATAAGTCTCTAGCCATTGACCATTGTTAAAAAAATGATTATTTGCAGGCATCAAGCATCATGTGGAAAAATTATAATTTTCCTGTGTACTTATTGTCAGAAAGTGGCATATCAGCTGTGCAGGAGGTAATCCTTTAAAACTTGCATTCTTTTGCAAATTTGAAATGTGCCTATTTGTGTTTTCAGAAAAGCTAAATTGAGAAATAAACTCATGGCTTAGAGAGGCATTATGACTGTTGGTCACTCTTTAGAGCAGTATTGCTTGATGAAGATATGGCTGTGAAATGTTGCATCAGATCTGTTTCTTCAAGGTCATAAGAAATGAATACTCCTAGTTTAAACTGAATTACTCTGCAGAATTTTAAATAGGAATACAAATTTGGTCCGTGAATGTTTGTCTCATCCAGCTGAAGGCAACACCCAGCTGCATCTGTAGCTTTTGAATGCTTTTTGCTTTCCATAGCCTGCAATTGGACCCAACCATTGCCTTTCCATTTGTCTTGTGGTAGTGGCATTTAAACGGCTGGTCAACTGTGTCATTGGATAATATGTTGTTGGTAGCAATCTAAATGTGTATAGTTTATGTGGATAGCTTCACTTTTTCAGGTTGTCAACTATATACTTAGATCCTGATATAATTGTGCAGATACTTTCCAAGAAAAAGATGAAGCATGGAACATATACCAGTGATGTTGCTGAGTTCAATATGGTTATGGAGGTATATGGCTTTAGCAATCTTGCTCACTGGAACGTTAACCAGCTTTATGGATCTTCACTTTGACTTAGATTATGATAACCACTTCTCTATTTTTTTTGTATTAGACTACCAAAGCTGGAACACATAATTCGGAGGCTTGTTTGCAGGAAGGAACTTGCCTGCCATTGGGCGGATATAGGTAAAAATTTAGGAGGTTTAAATTTCTTTATTACTGTCTGATTTCAAGACATATGAAAACCTTTTAAAGGATACGTTTGGTTTTCTAATAACTTGTTATGAAGGACAGTGTTTGGTCCTCGCTTCCACCAATCAGTGTTTCGTCTTCCAACAATCGCAAACCAGTTGTGCTCACTGTGGCCTCCATGGATTCTGCATCGTTTTTCCGTGACAAAAGTTTTGGTGCAGATTCACCAATATCTGTGAGATCTCGCTATTTTCTGCTTTTGTGTTGATCTAGAATACATTTATTTACTCTTCTTATTCTTCTTTTCCCGATTCATTGCTCAACGCGTTCTCCTTCTTTCAGGGTCTGGTAGCTCTTCTGGGAGCAGTTGATGCTCTTTCTCGAGTTGATGGTTTAAGTAATCTCAAAAAGCAGGTGCCAGTGAATAAATATAATTGCCAAATCTATTCAAGTTTCTAGCACACAAGTGTACCATGTGATTTAGTGTTATTACACGCTTTTTGTTGTTCGCAAGCTTTAAATACATGTAAATCCTAAATGAATGCAGCTTGTGTTTTTGGTTCTGACCGGAGAGACATGGGGTTACCTTGGCAGCAGGAGGTTCTTACACGAATTAGATCTGCATTCAGATGCTGTCGCAGGCCTTAGCGATACTTCGATTGAAACGGTAATCTTTATTGTTTTGATCTGACAAAGTGAGTAGATACATCTAGTCTTATGCATGAAATCCTTTGTGGAAAAAGTTGCATGTGGTTCATCGTTACTGCAACTTATTTGTTCCTTAGTAGTGCAGAGAGCAAGTTTCTTACTTAATTAGTGATCCTTGTGAAATTGAAGGTGCACAATTCTCTAAATCTAAAGATCGAATTCAAATTGTTGTTCTGTTTCTAACAGGTGCTTGAAATAGGATCCGTTGGAAAAGGTTTAAGTGGAGGGATAAACACCTTCTTTGCTCATAAAACTAGAGTGAGAAATTCCTGATACCATGAAACTCTTACATAATTTGTTAGGTAATGTGAAAACTGTCATATGCAACTTAACCTCCACTTTTGGTGTTCGCTTTAGGTTTCTTCAGTTACAAACATGACACTGGATGCTTTAAAAATAGCTCAGGATTCACTTGCATCCAAGAACATAAAAATTCTTTCAGCTGATACTGCAAACCCTGGAATACCCCCATCTTCCTTGATGGCTTTCATGAGAAAGGTACAATATATATTCCAAGCAAATAGATGGAAAGACAATTGAAATGTGTATTCGGACTTTGAAAGAGAAATAACTCTTTGTATATACTTCACCTTCGATTGATCATGAATATGATAGGAGAAGTATACTTGCTTACTGTTATGTGACTCTGAACCAGATTTCCTAGTGAAAAAGGTATAACATCAATATTCATTGTTGCAGAACCCTCAGACTTCAGCTGTTGTACTTGAAGACTTTGATACCAAGTTTGTGAATAAGTTCTACCATAGTCACCTCGATGACTTATGTAAGAAGAGTCACAGCCCATCTTTCTCTTCTTGTCCCTCCTAAACCCCATTTAACACTTTTTGATTCCTTTCTGGTATTGTATTGCAGCAAATATCAACTCTTCGTCTGTTGTAGCTGCTGCTTCTGTTGTGGCCCGTACACTTTACATCCTTGCAAGTGACAACAAAGATGCAAGCAATTCGGCTCTGGGATCCATCCATGTCAATGCTTCTTTCATTGAAGAGCTTCTAAACTGTCTTTTAGCTTGTGAACCGGGCCTATCATGCAACTTGGTAAAAGACTATATTTCACCAACAAACACTTGCCCAGGCAACTATGCTGGCGTCATCCTCGGAGAACCTTCCTCCAAACCTTACCTTGGTTATGTCGGTGATGTTTCTAGATTCCTATGGAATATTCTGGCGGATAAAACATCTGTCCAAAAGGGAAACACAACCTCAGTTTGTTCAAAAGGTGTCTGTAGCAAAACTAATGAAGTGTGCATTAAAGCTGAGAGCAACAAGGAGGGAACATGTGTTGTCTCCACAACCAGGTAAACTTTGTTCACTTGGAAATTGCATTTTGGTTAGCACGCTCAAGTTCTGTATGTCCTAAAATTGACGCAAATTTTAAGGCTGGTAGGCACTTGATAGGAATTATTAATTAGGATAGGCTTCAGAAGTGGAGCCTTTTTAGACTTAGGAGAGAGTCTATCTTTAGTTTGTTGACCTTTGAATTGAACCTAGCATCATTTTCTTCTTCCCCTGGTCTGAGATGTTGTATGTCACATACAGTATGTGGCCTAACCAATTTGTTGTCTGAGCATAACACATATTAAGTTCTGGTTCTGGCAGGTATGTTCCAGCTTATTCAACCCGATTGAAGTATAACGATGGAGCTTGGACAATTCTACCACAGAACTCATCGGATTCTATGGGGATGGTCGATCCAGTGTGGACCGAAAGCAACTGGGACACTATAAGGGTGCATGTGTACACAGTCCAGCACGCAGCATACGACAATGCAGTCCTTGTTGCAGGTATTATAGTCACAACGTTGGCTTACATTGGAATTTTGGCTGCTAAGTCAATCATCACAAAAGCCTTGAAGCAGGACTGAGATTTGTATTTAATCCCCTCTCCTCTCGGCCCAAAATGACTCGTCAGTTTCAGTAAGACATTGCCTAATTAGCAACACCACCAATACTGTGGTGGTAGAAACCTTTTTTCTCAACCAAGGTTATTGAAAAAGGTCCTTTTGAGCTAATTCATATTAAAATTCTGTATTAGACTGACAAGAAATTTTATTAGAAAAAAGGTTTGTTTTCACAATATTTATCAAAAGTAGCTAAAAAAAAAAGCAATCCTACTTGGATAAAGCAACAATACAATTCTAATTCCAAAGCAAAATACTAGCTGCCAAGAAGAAAATGGTGTTTTGTTTTGTGTTTTGGTAGCTCAATTCATAAACAAAACAGCAATAGAAGCTTAGTTGTAATAGATTAAGAAGTTGTTACATAGACTAAGTAAAGAAAATCTTAGAACCAGAAAGTGGTGAGACATCAAAATAGATATAACTCATATAAGGCATAACCATCTACAAAAGCTTTTAATAAAATCGCTTCGATAATCATCACCATCACAGCATTAGATGAACAAGTGCTTGAACTCCCCATTTGCTAGCTTACATAACTCATTGTAATTCTGTGGATCTGCAACCAAAAATATTAAAACACAACTCAATTCCTAATCCAAGAGATTAGCATCCACTTTGACTAATTTCCATGCTTCTTGCAAATGGGTTTTCGACAAATGCATCGACACTGAAAGCAAATCTGATATACTCAAGAAAACAGTAGTAATGGAATCAGTAAAATTACCAAAACTGTTGCCAAAATTGGTCCAAGTTTCAGCTCGAATGGCGTTATCACTCTCAGCAATTCCAATAACCTCAAGGTAAGTAGTAAGAGGAGGAGTCGGAGACGATCCTCTAACAACGATCTGAAGATCATCAGTAGATTTTCCGACCACAGATCCAATATCTGAACCGATCACTTGAATCACAGTTCTGACTTTTTGGCCAATGTATCGCCTCATCAAAGCTCCGTTCACAAAAGCTGAAGGACTTGATGTATCCATTTTCAATCTACCGTTCAAAGATTCGAAAGCAAATTGATAAATCAGTTTCTTATTCAATATCAAAGACGAAGGATTAAAAATTGAAAACCAGGAAACAAAATAAAACTGAAAAAAAATAATTGAGAAGATTTACCTTATTGGAGAAGATGAATCGTTCGTCGGAGTTGCAAATTGATTAGCCCTAACCTTCTGAGGTTTTTAGGCTTTGAGAGAGAGTTAATGGAGAGTATATGGGCGGGAAGCGAAAAGCTTCAGATGGCGCCAAAAATGTGAAGGGTTTTAGTGGGACGGACCAATCGTAAATTATGGGCCTGTATGTATTGTACCCATTGGGCTTTTTAAGTTTTCCTTGGATCGTTTATTTTTGATGTTGGTATAACTATGACACATTCATTAAACGTATTATCCAAACCATTGTGTGGAAAAATAATTAAAAGTATTCAATTGCATTATTTTATTTTAAAAATTACATATCAAAACAAAAATTATAGATTTTAATATAATTATATAATATCGAGAGTTATTTTTCTTAATTTCTTATGTAAGAAAAAAGTTACAAAAGAAAATTTGAGAAATGAACTTGTATAAAATCATTTATTCTCTTTCAATTTCTTGGTTATAGCAAAAGCGGCTCCTGCGACGGCCACGATCACTGCTGATATTATGATCGTCTTTTTAAGTGTTTGCGCTGCGTCTCTCTTTGCCTTTGCGTTTTCCCTCTTTTCGACGATTTTTTGTACCTTTTCCAATTTTTATAAAAGTAAAAAAAAAAAAAATACGTATTCACGTAAGGAAGGATATGTGTACAAGAAAAATGTGATAGAGCTTCTAATATTTGGTGGTTTATTTGAGAAACTCATGCAAAATTAACACATCCATTTAATTTCATTAAAACAATACCTTATCGGCAGCAATCTCTGAAGAAACAGGATCTACTTCGAAATTCTTGTTTTGGCCAGGATTTAGTTCAGCTTCTGCATCTCCTTCTGGAAAAGTTGTTGCATCCGTTGCCATTTTCACACTTTGATTTTTGTTTTCTTACCAAAAAGATGCTTTGAACACAAATTAAAATGAAGATAGCTTGAAAATGAGACAAGTAAGTTTGGATTTTGTGGCTAAGTCTTGTGATCTAAAAATAGTTTGGAGTTTGTTCGTGTTGCTATGGATCTTTCATTTATTCCATTAGCTTTTTTTGGCTCTCTTCTTGAATTATTTCCCGCAATTTTTGCTGATTCCACTAAAATGAAACAGTGCAATTTTTACTTTCCATAATTTCGTTTTTTCACAATTTTTGTTAGTTTCACTTTGTGTTTCCAATCTAGAATCCTAATTTTGACATCAAATGTTCACTATTTTTTTCTAACATTATGGATGGTTGAATTAAATTTATTTTTAAATCAACTAACATATATATATATATATATATATATATATATATTTTAAGAATATATTCTATCTGTGATAGATGTTTGCATAAGAAGCAAATTTGTTTTGACTATTTTTTACAGAGACCATCTATGCCTCTGGACAAATGAGAGAGTTTTTGATTGTTAAAACACAAATCAAAAGGAAGAAGCAGATCCTTCCAAAAGAATAGTTTTCATATGTTGAATCAGCCCATCCATCTGCTCTCTTGAATGCAACGGCGAAGGATACACAAACGCACAGTCCAATTTCCCGTCCCTAAGCGCATCGAAAACCGCAACCGACGGTCCAACCCCGTGGATAGATGCGCATCCGATGTAATCCTGCACCCCAACAGAAGCCAATTCAGGCTCTGGAGACTCGTCGATAACAGGATCTTCAAATATGGAGATGAAAGCGGTTCTCAAGGACGAGGAAGGAGTGAGATTAGGATTCTCTATGGCCTTGCACATTAAGAAATTGAGATCCGACATATCGGTGAACTGCTTGTTCGAGTTCTTTGCGGATGTGAACGAGTCGTAGCATCTTTTTGCTAGGTCCCAGAGCGTTTCTTCTCCAGTTAAATCGTGTGTGTGAAGGATCCCTGCGTGATAGAAACCTGTAAACAAAGTAATAAATATATCAAGTTGAAATCATAAGATCAATTACAACAACATCCAAATCATATTGTACTGTCCACGGTTAGTTTAACGAGTTTGAAAATGTCTAGTAAGAACTACTAAAACTGCAATTGTTTACAATTTCAATCAATCAAAGCCTAGATAACTCACAGTCTTGAACCGTATAATCACTAGCTCATAGAAAATTTGATGCAATCATGAGAAGATAATCTATGAACATATATTCCTCATATATATATCATCAAATGCTATCGTAATCCCAAATTTCGAGCTTACCAAAGTCATTTGAAGTAAGAGGAGGTTCAAGAATGGAACGACAATCCGAAAGAGTCACCACAGCGTATTTCTCTCCTTGGTATGGCGGTAGATTCTTCGAGGAATACGCAGCGATTAGCCCCGACGCGGCTAATGCCGCCCATAGCTTTAAACCTCTTGCCTTGCATCCCTACAAAATTTTCAGTAACAATCTAGGCTTTAGCACATACCAAAATCCTCTTTTAGTCCATTTTGTGTTACAAATTAAATGTATCCATATGTAATTGCAACAATGAATACTTGCAGAGTGTGATTACTCCTCCTAGCTAATCACTAAAAAATATGGACACAATCATAATTTTATTTTATTTTTTTATGTAATCATCCTGAGATATTTATTTTATATTCATATACGCAAAAATGGAAACAAATATTAATACTCTATGGTTAACACGTAATAATAGTAATTAACACATAATTAATAGAAGAATGGTGGAGAGTCACTCACAGCCACAAGTTTGAGAGTCTGATCTCTTTCCAATTTCAACCTCACCACTTGCGATCTCCGATTCGAATTCTCTGCGTCCACGAAATTCAAATTCGTAAACCGAAAAGCGTTCAACGAGTAACCAAGCACGTCGATTCCACGCGCCCAGAACGGTTTATTCCCTTTACCACTCGGAATCAGCTCCTCTATCGGATAACCTAATCCCGCCGTCGTCTCCGGCGCCGCCACGGGACCGTTTCCGCAACCATCAGCTGCCGTCTCTTTCATAAACTCTCTCAGAAGCGTAACCGCCGCAGTACGATCGACAGCCGCCGTGTTTAGCCGAAATGCAAGTATCCGTTGTGCTCCGTCGTCGGTTAGATCGTAGAGACTGACGATGAAGACACGTGACTCGGAGTTGATCCAACGGTGTGGATTGATCCACGTGTTTTTGTTAAGCTCGTGTTCTAGGATGATCCTGTGTGGATCAGCGCATGGATCGTCGCTGTCTCGGATAATCTGAGCCGTAGATTCGGAATCAAAGGGATGGATTTCGACGCGGGAATCGGCGGCGGACGTTACGACGAAGGAGAAGGAGTTAGCGGATGCGTCGAAACGGATGTTGGAACGGAGGGTGGGATGGTAAATCTGGAGTTTGTCGAGGGTGTTTTGGAGATTTTGGAGTTTTGGTGTTCGGGAAAGTAACAGAGCTATGACGGCGATACCTGTGCCGCCGTCAATCGCTCTGCACCAGCTGTACTCCGTTCCTCCGACGGGTCGGGTCATGGATTTGGGTACCCGATTCGGCTCACTCATTATCTTGAGTAAGAAGAGAGATTGTTTTCGCTTTTTGGGATTTTAAGATTTTTGTTGGCTAATATGGGAAGATGATACAGTGACGTAGCTTTTACTCGATTCCGGTTTTGTGTTTTTATCCGGTTTAACGATTTAGATAGAAATGATTTGTATTTCCGGTCTTGGTTTTGCACTTAACAATTTTTCCGCTTAGCTCAGGTTAGCTGGTTAGGTACGTTATATGGCTGGCAATATGTTAGGTCAATTAATTGGATTTTACTTTTATTAAACCATGGTTTAGTATGTCAAAAATGGACCACTTTTATTAAACCCTGGTTTAGTATGTCAAAAATGACAGGTCCGTTTCGTCTATTTTTTGGCTATAAAGACTTTTGTTGTATAAAATTTGCTCGCAGATCTATCTGCGACTGCGACTGAAAGTTGTTCCTTTGGTAATCGCAGGATCTATAAATTTTATCTACTATTTTTCTTTGATATTACTATTACTTATCTTTAGTCTCTCTTTTTTTTACCACGTCGTTTTAGTTTTTATTTTTTACGTATCTACTAGAAAGCTCTGAAACAATTGACCAAACGATTTGACTTTTCATTTGGAACAAATTAAAGAGTTGTTAAAATTGGATAAAAAGACAACAAAAGTAAATTGATTGCAAGCCACATTGAGTACTTCTTATTTTAGCTTGAGATTAGGATTAGTTTACGGATCCAGATTATCTTCAAAGTAATCTATTTTTCCCTCCTCTTTTCTTCTATATAAACGTTGAATTAAAAACTCTTTTGTTTTCATCACAGAGTTCTCTCTCTTTGTAAAGGTATAAAAAAATTATTAACACATCAAAAATAAAATCAAAATAAATTGTTGTGATCATAGAGTTTTCTTGCACCAATGAGTGCTTCAAAGCTTGTTTCTGTATTACTATTGATTGTATTAATCAATATAAGCAATAATGGCGTCGATGCATTTCACAAAGTTTTCAAGAAATTGCAATCACAATCGACTTCATTGGATTCAGTGAGTCCTCTTCATAGAACCGCCTATCACTTTCAACCTCCCCGCCATTGGATCAACGGTACAACATTGTGACATCTTATTCAAGTTCATATTTATTTGGTTGCTTAATTGCTCTATTACTAAGGTTTCTATCAACCAAAATACATTGTTAATACCTATTTTTCTTTTGGTTTTGTTGTTTTGCCTTCTTCGTGGCATTCTTGACTCCAACAGATCCGAATGGTAAGTCCATTACAAATATATTTATTTTTTTATAAAAGTTAATAACAAAAACATTATATGATTGCATGTAACAATATTTTAAAATTGAAACAGCTCCAATGCTCTACAAGGGAATTTACCATCTCTTTTACCAATACAATCCCAAAGGTGCGGTTTGGGGTAACATTGTGTGGGCTCACTCGGTTTCTAAGGACTTGATCAATTGGGAATAGGGGTGTCAAAATGGGTAACCCGACCCGACCCGACCCAAACCTATATGGGTTCGAGTGTTTAATGGACGGGTTTGACCCGACCCATATATTTATATGGGTTGAATTTACATACCCAAACCCATTATTGTAGAAATCCATTGGCATAATGGGTTATATGGGTACCCATATATATGTATAATAAAATATATAAATAATAAAAATCCAAAAAATAACATAAAATTGTAAACCAACAAAAGTTTTTAAATAATAAATTAAAAAAATCTAGATATTATACATATATTTTACTTTTTACTTTTATTTTTAGGTAAAATGTAAACTTTAATAGTTATTTTAGATATTTTACATATAAAGTTGTAAAGAAAAGAAGATATTTTACATATATTTATATAAATTTTACATAATATATTAATATATATATATATAAATTTTACTTTTTAGTTTTGGTTATGAAATTCATGGGTAACCCATGACCCTAATGGGTTTTACCCATTAAACCCATAACCCTAATAGGGTAACCCACTAAAACTCATTTATATATATGGGTAAAAAAATTCTACCCAAACCCACTAAAATCATGGGCGGGTTTGGGTAACCCATGGGTATTAACCCATTTTGACACCCCTAATTGGGAAGCCCTTGAACCAGCCATTTACCCATCCAAATGGTTCGACATTAACGGTACATGGTCCGGTTCAGCTACCCACGTACCGGGAAAAGGACCGGTTATCCTCTACACCGGTATCACCGAGAACCAGACTCAAATTCAAAATTATGCCATTCCCCAAGATCTTTCCGACCCATACCTCAAGACATGGATTAAACCAGACGATAACCCGATCGTAAAACCCGACCATGGCGAGAACGGATCCGCTTTCCGTGACCCAACCACGGCTTGGTTCAACAAAAAAGATGGGTATTGGAGAATGCTTGTTGGTTCAAAGAAAAAGCACCGAGGAATCGCTTATATGTACAAAAGTCGTGACTTCAAGAAATGGGTCAAAACCAAACGTCCCATCCACTCCAGAAAGAAGACCGGTATGTGGGAATGTCCAGATTTCTTCCCGGTATCCGTAACCGACAAGAAAAACGGTTTGGACTTCAGCTACGACGGTCCAAACGCCAAGCATGTGTTGAAGGTTAGTTTGGACTTGACCCGATACGAGTACTACACTCTTGGAAAGTATGACACCAAGAAGGATCGTTACAGACCCGACGGTAACACTCCTGACGGTTGGGATGGTTTGAGATTTGATTATGGTAACTTCTATGCGTCAAAGACATTCTTTGATGACAAGAAGAACAGAAGAATTCTTTGGGGTTGGGCCAATGAATCCGACACCGTTGAAGATGATACGTTGAAGGGTTGGGCCGGTATTCAGCTTATCCCAAGAACAATCTTGCTTGACTCTAGCGGTAAGCAACTCGTGTTTTGGCCTATTGAAGAGATTGAGTCATTGAGAGGAAAGAATGTCCAAATGACCAACCAGAAAATGGAGATGGGCCAACGCTTTGAGGTCCAAGGAGTTACTCCTGCTCAGGTGGATGTGGATGTGACATTCAACGTTGGAAGTCTAGAGAAGGCTGAAAAGTTGGACGAAAGCTTCGCAACTAAACCACTAGAGTTATGTAACTTGAAAGGTTCAAATGTGACTGGCGGAGTCGGTCCTTTTGGTCTGATCACGTTGGCTACATCTGACCTAGAAGAATACACTCCTGTTTTCTTCAGAGTCTTCAAAGATGCTTCAACCAACAAACCTAAGGTCCTCATGTGCTCTGACGCCAAGCCGTATGTTTTCCTTACTCACTAATTAACTTGTGTATATACTTTTGTGTCTTCAATTTTTCTAACACTTAATCATATATATCGACAGTTCGAGTCTCAAAACAGACACGGGCTCTGACGCGAAGCAGAGGATGTACAAACCATCGTTTGCTGGTTTTGTTGATGTTGATCTCGCTGACGGAAAGATCTCTCTAAGGAGTTTGGTACGTCCCAAACTTAATCATTTTAACTGATATTATTGTTGTATAGAAGCAAATAAGTAACATTATAATTAATTTGGACTTGTAGATTGATCACTCGGTCGTCGAGAGCTTTGGTGCAAAAGGAAAGACAGTGATAACATCTAGAGTGTATCCAACAAAAGCAGTAGGAGAAAAAGCTCATTTGTTTGTCTTTAACAATGGATCACAGCCTGTGACCGTAGAGAGCCTCAATGCATGGAACATGCAGAAGCCTCTGAAGATGAACCAAGGAGCTAAATGATCACCTCATTCTTTTTATTCTTTTCGTTAATAAATTTCATTCATTCGTTAAGAAAGAGAGAGAGTCTGTGACAGTATTATAGAAAAGAGGAACCTATTGTGTTTCTTTTTCTATCAATTCAATTTGTACATAGTTCATCGCATAGATGGGCTAGAAATCTCAATAAAATCAAACTTTAAAAATACACTACTACTTGGCACTAGCAAACAACTTATGGCAAAGGACGAGAAATTTTCTTAGTTTCATCACTTTTTAGTCTCTTGATCCTAAATTTACTGAGTAAAACTTATACTAATCACATACGTCATTCTTTCACGATGCTTAAGTGTGCACAAATAGATTGGAATTAAGCAAGAATTTCCAATAATCGATTTAGGATGAATAGAAAACCAAATCCTTTTACTGATATTATCTTTTAACATAGAAAGTCACTGAAACAAGAAACAAAACCCTATCAAAGGGAAGACAACAAAAAGAAGCAAGCAAGAGATCGGATTCTTGATATGAGTCTCTCTACTTGATCTTCTTCTTAGGCCTCAACTGCAAATAAGAAATCAAACAAAAAAGAGTTGGTCAGAGATATCATTTCGGCTGATATAGACCGAAAAAGATACAAAAATAAGCAAAGTAACAAAACCAAACCTGGTTGCTGTGACCACACTTCTTCTTCCTGCAGTTGACAGCCCTTGGGTGAAGACGAGCATAGCACCTAACAAAACGGTGTAGAATTACTTTAGAATAATCTCAAATGCATCAAAATCAAACAATAGACAACACAAGGACTAATCCTGAATCATAAGTTCTCTATAGATGCACTCAATAATCAGAATAAACAAGCTTGAGCATTAAAAGCATGATCTTTCTATGTAATGATTCAGCACAACTCTTCATGGTCAGTAAATTTTCAACCTATACACAACAATAAACATTTGATACTAAAGAAACGTATGCATATAAATGTACCATTCAAGAAAATCATCTGGAAAGATGATAGATTTGACCAGCTGACAAAGTTTAGAGAATGGAAAAATGTGGATATCGGGAACATTTATAACCTCAACACGCATTGTAAATTGCTTGAGAAGCTAAGTTAATTCCCACAAAACAGCTAAACCCTATCACACAAATAAACCAATCTCTTCAAACATTTCGTACTTTTATCTAATCTCCACCAAAACTAACATCTTAGGGAGAAATTTGAAGCTTACTTGCGGCAAATCATCTTGTCCTGGTTGTACTTACGAGCCAACATCATCAATGAAGGCTCAATGATACCTCCTCTAAGCCTCAACACAAGATGAAGTGTGGATTCTGTTTACAAATGAGAACATTCTTTTAGAGTTTATTCATTTGGATAATTGAAATGGTTCAAAAACAAGGATTTGAATGATTCGTACCTTTCTGGATGTTGTAGTCAGCCAAAGTACGGCCATCTTCGAGCTGTTTTCCGGCGAAGATCAATCTCTGCTGATCCGGAGGGATTCCTAAAGGAGAAACCAGTGAATGAGATTAGAGATCTGAGTTTCAAACAAAGACAAAAATGCATCGAAAGGAGAAGAATGATACCTTCTTTGTCTTGGATCTTGGCCTTGACATTGTCGATGGTGTCGCTGCTCTCGACCTCGAGAGTGATGGTCTTGCCGGTCAAGGTTTTCACGAAGATCTGCATCTTTTGGGTTTCGTCTTCTCTCACGTAGAGTAACCCTAAAGAAGGAGGCGGGTTTTTATACGTCAATGTTCGTGTCTAGGGTTTTGCAGTTTTATTGGGCTGGGTTTAGGAAAAAAAATATTTTGTTACAGGCCTTTTACCACAAAAAGGCCCAGCCCAGCTTTTGCAATTTCCACCTGATGCCTTGGGATTTGATTGGCTTAAAAGATGATAACATTTTAGACACCTCTCATTCTAAGACCAGCTCTCGTTAGTCTATGGTTTCTCAATTCTCATGCACATAATCGTGTTTTTTTTTATGCTTCCGCCTCTGAATTTGAACCGATTTAGCTCTTGGCATAGTTCATTCTCAAGTTATGATTGTCACTCACTCTACTTATAGGATTCTACGACCCCGAGATCCGCACACTGTCAACATTCCATTTTAAACGATTTCCTATTTCAGAGGAAACAAAACCTATGAAATTGTTGGATTATAATCATGGAATGATAATTTTGCCAGAGAGTAGCTTGTTGATAAGTCAAAGTCCACTCATTCATGTCCTCAATCTCTTTGGCAACAACTTCAATAGATTTCTCTATATAACAAATTGTTTTTATCATTCCCAAGGTCCAAAGACACCACATGGAGGCGATTGACAAAGAGCTAATTCAAAATTCTGTAGTCTTAGGATCAATTTGTGAAATATATCATGTTAATACAATTGCTACCAAATACAAATATTTATCAACTCCAATCAAAAGATTTGGCATCTAAGACTTTGCAAATAGTAGATCCAAAATAATCCAAGGTGTTTATGAGATAAAATGACTAACAATTATTGAATATCTTATGGTCATATAGCAGAGACTATAACAAAGCATAGTAATTCCAAAACGCTTTTCAATCTAAGAAAAAACAAAATGAAACATTGAGAAAGCTACATAAAGAGATCCAACGAGAGGCCAAATAACTCACAGCCTCCTTCCTCTTCTTCCACTCTTTCTGCGGGTACTGTCGGTTGGGATAGGAGTCACATCCTCTGGGGAAAACAAGAACAATGTGAGAGATTTCTCCAATCATAAAGCAATAAAACAACTCTAGATGCGGATTGTTTATTATACCAATGCGGCCAATTTTCATGCCAGAACGAGCAAGGGCTCTCAGGGCAGACTGAGCACCAGGTCCAGGGGTCTTGGTCTTGTTTCCACCAGTGGCACGGAGCTTCACATGTATCGCAGTGACTCCAAGTTCCTGTGTTGCATATATCCACTACATCAATTACATTCACAAAAAAAAAGCCTATCAAATTTTCTGCTTGGTAATGCAATTTCTTTGCCTTTACCTTGCATCGCTGAGCGACATCTTGTGCAGCAAGCATAGCTGCATAAGGTGAGGACTCATCTCTGTCCGCTTTCACCTTCATTCCACCTATGGAAGTTGAAATCAAAACAGCAATTTTAGCAGCACATTGCATTTTCAAGAACAAAGCAATTACCAAACAGATAAAAAGGAATTCCTCAAAAGGTAAAACCTCAAACAAACAAAGACTAAAGATACTTCAGCTCACACTCAAAAGAGATGACCATAATACCACAAACTACATAATCTAACTTGCTTCTATTAGCAGAACATTCGTGCATGCAGCCAAAATCAAAGCAAACTTCTATAAACCTATCAATGGATTCCTCCAAAAAAATCAAAGAGTAGATACTAAAGAAACATCATTTTACACTCGATAGAGACTACCATGGGCGGACGTACGTTACGCTTAGGGGGGGCACTTGCCACGGGTAAAATTTTCAAAGTTGGTGTTATTTACAAGAGCTTTTAATTATGCCCCTGTTAAATATATGTTTAATGCCCCCAATTACTCTGTTTTCTTCTTATACAAAGGTTTTGTGTTGTATAATATTATAATTTAAAGTTTATATAATACAAAATACAATACAAAAGCCTAACTTTTTGTTGTTTTCTTTGTAAATAAGCCCATATTTTACTAACAAAATAACTTTAAATCACTTTCGTTAACTTGGAAAAATAAATCAAATGCTTTAACTTACTTAGAAAATTCATTTTTGTTGGCAAAATTAGAGTTTTTTTTAAATTTAATATTATTGCCCCGGATAAAATAAATTCCTGGATCCGCCACTGGAGACTACCGCATTCAAGTTTAACAAAAGGATCATCACCAAAGGATTAGAGAGAGAGTTGAAATAGATGATTACCAGTGATGCGAACAAGTGTTTCCCGTCCAGACAAATCAGTCACGTGCTGAAATAGCAGATATAACAAGTTCAGCAATGTACATAAAAATCTAATTTTTCTCAGAGAATTAGAAAAGACAGAACAAGACACTCACAATGAAAGTGTCGTTGAATGAAGCAAAGATGTGAACAACTCCAAAGACGTTCTCTCCTTCACGAACAGTTGGTCCAAGAGATGTCTCAACCTTTGGCTCTTTTGTCTTTCTCTTCGACTACAAATTCCACACACAAAAATAAAACTAGCATTATGCAATTGCAATATCTTAAAGACACTTGACCAAAAAAATCCAATCTTTCAAAAAAAATTCATATGATCACAGATCGTAATTCGAAGAAAAGGATTGCTTAATTAACATTTTCTAACTTCAGAAATGGAATTTCAGATTATATATCTTCTTAATTACCAAATCCATGAAAAATAATTTCAAGCTTTAGACAAAACTTACCATGGTTTGGAACAGAGGAAGGTGGTACAAGGGAAGCTAGGGTTTCTTTTAGTTCCGCCTTTAGCTTTTAGCTAGCGAAAGAGACGTACCAGAATTGGCTTTAATAGTCTGAATTTTTGTTAGGGTTAAGCGGTGATTTGATGGATAATTAAGACCCAATATATTCAGGCCCAACATATCACGGCCCATAGAGGTGAGCAAAATTGCTCGTTTTTGTGCAATTTGTTTGTCTTTTATCTCAAATTATGGCAGAGCATCACTTAAATCTTGTGTATAAAGCAAATTTTACCAATGTAATAAGTTTAGTAATATTATTAGATCATCCTAAACGTTTGTACATTGTTGAAAGGAAATGCAAACGCAAAATAACGAATCACAAACGGGGAAAACCGCGCATCGTCAAAACAGTTGCAATTGAATTTGCTATTTTCTGCATATAAATACTGGACAGGAGAGAAAATGCAATCAAAGACTAATGCCATTTTCGTAGCGCATCGTCTACTTGTGCGGGGAGAAGAAGTTGGGACTCACAATATCTAGGAGTCCCTTGGGATTGTCTGTGTGTACCCAATGGCCAGAGTTACGAAGAAGGTGAGTCGCAACTTTCCCTTCTGAGACATTCTGTCTCTGGTTAGCAATTGTTTCAAGCCGCTTGGTTGTATCATTGTCCCATCGGTCACTCTTTTCTGCAATCACAAAATTTATTTCTGTATCTTTTGGTGGGTTCTCTAACAAAGACCAGTACGAAGTCTCCCTGTAATGGGGAAAGTGAGAAGTCATATGAAGAAAGTATAATCTTGAGGGAGGAAATTGTATAATTCTAGTCATTGGTTCTTATGAGAGGCAAAACCTGTAAGAGTTGAACATTTGGACAGCTCCGTCAAGGTTAAAGGCCCATATCTCTGAGTCTCCAGATCTCTTGAGATTGCTGCCAATCCACTCAGATAATGATCTTGAAAAACCAAGTTCGACCATATGATCCACGAGCCACCTAGAATCACAAAACAATGTTTGAATGACACCAGTAGGATTTATATACTCTGCAAGCTGAAATGAGCCTTATTGATATGTGTAACATAATCAGCTAGAAGCAATCATATAAGCATACTCTTTATTCCCACTTATCTAAATCAAAATCCAAAAAAATGCCCTTGCATCCGCAACAACAGCTAAATCAGAGAGATGTTATAATAGACCACATGTACTAATGCCGAAATTTCATACCAAAAGTGAGCATTATATACCGACTTTCGAGCGGATATCAATTAAGAAAAATGCTTATGACCATTAACCGTAAATGAAACTACTAAGCTTTGAATAAACAGTCCAGATGGTAGACAAACATCAAGAATCACGGAAAGAATGAGACTTTACTTGCGGGAAGGGATTGGTGAAGGTAAACTCTGCAACGTCTTCAGAACTTTCTCCACCTCACCATCACTTTTTTCTGCTTTGACTTCCCCAGGGACAGAGTCTAGTACCCATAGCTGTTCTGCATCAAAGAGAGAACACCAAACCAACTTTGCTATGGTCAAGTCATCATCATCATTCTCAGATAAAAAAAATACACAAATTGGTCATCTTACAACAGCAATGAGCTCATTAAACTTGCATTCATCATAAGACTTGACAAGGTGAAGTCACATTAGTCCAGTACCTGTTTAGGAGGAGAAGCTGATTCCCCAAAATCACCACGAGCACAACTCTCCATAAACTGCAAAGCCACTTTACCTCCCAAAGAGTGACCAATGACCACCTCAGGCCATTTCCAACCACTTGCTTTAACCAAATCAGCTAAATCCTTAGCTGAATTCACAAGATCATGAGGTGGATTAAGCCCTTCTACCTCCGCAGATCTCCCATGGTTCCTCAGATCAACCAATACCATCTTCCAATCTGGATGTATAAACATGAAATTCAATCGATATATCAAAGGAAAGCTGAAGATATTGATCACAGAGACACATACCAGAAGCAGAGGAGACGGAGAGAGACGATGCGAGAGAGCGAGAAAACGATCTCCAGTTGCGTCCGGAACCGAGGAGGCCATGAAGAATGAGAGCTGTAGATTCAGACTTCCGATCACCGGAGGATCGGACTTCTTCGTAGGCTAGGGTTTGAAGAGATCTCGAATTCGTGAAACAAGAGACGAACAGACTCGGAGACTCGATGAAACGAAGCAAAAAGCGAGATTCAAATCGGTTCTTTAGAGTTCTCGCCATTGATTCTTCCTCTCTAGCTTTCGAAATTCTCCGGCGAAGTAAAGAAAGCGAAGAGAGAAAAAAAAAAAAAAAAAAAAAAAAGGAATGACAGCTGTGGGATTTGAACCCACGCCCTTTCGGACCAGAGCCTAAATCTGGCGCCTTAGACCACTCGGCCAAACTGTCAGATGTTGGTAATGTCTTAATAGTTTATTTAAAAATACTAAATTTCAGATTCAGGCTTCAAAAATGTTGTATAATTAATTTTTTTTTTAAATGGCGTATTTATCATTTTAAAATTTTTAATTTCAATGTTGTATTTTATCATGCACACAAGTTTTTAGTGACTGATTAACCCACGTAGACATTATGAATCCATATATGCAAATATATATTGACCCGAGAAATAAGACTAATTGAACCATATGAAAACACACGAATATATTGCATAAATCATCTGAAAAATCCTCCAAAGTCCAGTCCACCAAGACACCAAGCTGCAAAGTTTTATTATTTGTGAAGCTGTATGTTGATTTTATTATAGTTCAATAGTTGACGTTGCATGTCTATTTGTTAATGTAGATGTCATAGCAAAAACAAGAAACATTATTGTTTCAAAAGTCTAAAACAAATTATTGAATGAAGAATCAAGTTGATGAAGAAGAGATGATCTTGAACAAGCGATGGCTTTAATTGAAAAACGGATAATGCGGTATGTCACTTATCGTTTTGTAATTTATTTAAATTTAATTTTCCGTATAATGAGGAATAAAAAGTCCAAAGCTAAGTGTTTGGACAAATGGTACAAGCAATCCCCAAACCAGAACAAGACAATTATAGACATCGATTCTCTTATTAATGAAAGAAATCTATAGGTTTTGATGTTTTTATTCATTTGTGCAAAGGGAAGAAAAAAAACTTATTACACTTCTAAAGTATTTGATTAAACAAACATGGTTGCAATTTCAACCTTTCACATGATTCATTCAAGCTCATGCATATAGAAACGGTTATGACTACAACAACCGAACAATCTTGAAATGAACAAGCTTTCGAGAAAGGGCTTGCATTTTGATTTGGATCACATAAATGATTTGTTTCTAAAACCATATAAACAGTATACGTAAAAAACAAAACAAAATACTGAAGTTTCACTTTCTTAATGATTTACATATGCAACTTAATTATTTATGCTCAACCGTTGCTTGAATTCCATTGGAATCAAATTCGATCCTCTTAGTAACTTGAAACATAATTAGAGAAAGAAATAACGCATCCCCTTCACTCTTCAGATTCGTAATGAATGTGTTACTAAGATAAACAAAAAAAAACAAATGGTAGTATCAACTAAAAGCTACCATTAAATTCCATTAAATAGCTTCACATGGGAAATAACTGATGCTGAGGTATTAGATTTTATGGAAGGTCAATGGTAGTATTTGACATTTTCTTATCTAATTATTTTATAAGGAATTAACTATTTTATTTTCTTCTGCTATAACGCCATATCCTAGCTTTTTTTTAGTATATTTTTATAATCTTGTGAAGCAAATTCAAAAAATAAAGAGGCTTCTTTTACAAAGCATCCCATTTTGGGCTTCCCTTGTATAATTGCCATTAAAGTTTTGAAACCCTGTTGCATAACTGTCGTTAAATTTTTTAGTCTATACTGTAGATCATTTTAAATTTGATTGTCCTCTTAATTGTGAAACATATAATACACGAGAGATTCCTCCTAAGTTATTAACAGCTATATGTCCTCATGAGGTCTGTATTTTAGTTATTGGCCTCTTGTATTAAATTCTACTTACTGTTTGTTTCATTTTATTTTGTTAATGTTCAAACATTCAAACATTATATATCCCTCTAACTTCTCAAATACTAATATATAGGAGATCTCATATAATTATGATCGTGAATTTTTTTTTTTTTTTTTGATATGCACTAGTAACTGTAAATAATATGACGTATAGTAAACATTAAAAGTAATAAACTTTATTTTACCATAAGCTTTCTAGTTAGACGGGAAAAAAAAACACCATAAGCTTCTTAGTTTTGTGAGGTTCGGGAGATTAGACAGGCCTTCGTCCATAATCTTTCCGGTTTTAAAGACTAATTAAACTACCATCATCAGCTCAATGGATATCTTTTTTTTTTTGAACATTAATGGATATCTTTTATTTCTTCTTATTATTGCTAAACCTTTTGTGATAATTATTTACAATGACCAGTGAATCTGGAAGTTAGAAACATCTTATAAATGGTTTACATCTTTGAATATCCAATTAACCTATCAGCACTAGTTATATACATCTATATCTTCCATTCTTCTATATTGTCAAAAATTGTCACCACCAAAAACGTTGATTTATATTCAGAATTTGGAAAGTATTCAAAGTACTCGAGTTTCATGATGGGTACGTTCGCAACGTCTATTTGATTATCAATCAAAAAGAAGTTTTTTAGCTGGCACTTGAAACCGTCGTTTGAAACTTTAAAACGGACGCTTCACAGTATAAATGTACTATTGAATATATTATTTAAATTTTAATAATTTAAATTAATTTGTAGTTATTTTTTGTTTTGATTCATTATTAGTTAATGCTACCACATTATTTCTACATTTAACTATTCAGTTTTTTTCATATATAAACTATTCGACAGTTTTAACCGTACTTATTAGAAACTATTTCTAAAATGACTATAAATCACATCAATACAAACTTTTCTCATAAAAAATCTTTTACTATTTACTCATGTAGTTTTATATTTTTAGTATTGCAGTTTATTGATTTAACATTCAAAATTTAATAAATGATACAAAAAAATAATAGGTTTTTAATATATGTAGAATTACAAAACAACATTTATAATAAAACAGAGAGAATAGTAAAAATTGTTTATGAGAAAATATGTATTAGTGTCACTAAAGTTATTTTACACATGTTTTCTAGATAGGTTTTTAATACAGTGTAAAATTACAAAACAATATTTATAATGAAACAGAGAGAATAGTAAAAATTGTTTATGAAAAAAATGTATTAGCGTCACTAAAGTTATTTTAGACATATTTTCTAGAAAACCATTTATTAGAAAATATGTCTGATTCATTCAAGAAAACAGTCGAATAATAGTTTTTTACTGTGACAAACAGTTTAATAGATAAAACATAAAACATTGGATAACATCAGCTAATAAACGAATAACAAAAACAAAGTATAACTAATAAAATACGTATATAAATAAACTAAAATTTGCTTTAAAATATACATTAAAAATACAAAACGGCAAATTTATGAAACAAAAAAGTGAGTCATAAGATTAAAACTATTGTAAAATGGAGGAAATATTACTTAAAATTTCGATTACCAATAAAATCATTCATTTTCTTTAAAATTGTAAGATTTAACTCTTCCCCTTTACATTTAGCAATAAATAGTTTGCTGCACTGGTTTAAATGCACTAATACATTGTTTACTGAATTGCCTTTTGTTTCATATATTTGTCTCTACTATACTTTACTATCTTTCCCACCTCCAATCAATAAATTTATTACTAAATAAACAAAGTCATATCTCTCTGTCCATAACATAATTACTTTATTCAACAAATATTAATTCTTAACCATATTTAGCTCCTCTTCTTCCTTATATATTACACACATACATTTTCTTAAGAGTCATTCACTACCATCAACCCCATCACCTAGAACAACACAAAGAAAAACAAATACAAAAATACAAAAATACAAAAACCCTCTCGGCGAAACCGAAGTTTCGAAATGAGAAACAAGAACGGTAAAAGAGTTAGAGTTGAGCCATCGGCAAGGACCTCGGTGGTTGCTAATGGGAGGTTTGAAGGAAGATCACCATCGAGCAACACGTCATCATCGCAAAACTCGTGCCTGTCAACGACGGAGGACGTGAAGGAGGAGGTTGCATCGTCGTGGGTTGATGAAGAAGAGGCGCCGGATATGGTGGTGGTGGGATGTCGAAGATGTCTGATGTATGCTTTGGTCTTACAAGAACGTAAACGTTGCCCCAAGTGCAAATGCACCGACTTGATCTTCTTTTAATTAGAGAATTTGTTCTAAGTTATGGTTTCAATTTGGACTTTTGAGTTTGAGATGATGAATTTTGTTTTCTTTGTAAAGTCCTCTATATAATTAATCATATTATTTAAGTATTGATCTCTATTTTAATATGTAAAATTGACAGACAGATCATTTCTGTTTCTGGCCGTCCCTGGTTCATTTTGTTAAGTTGTCCATTTTCATGTTTTAATATTTTGGAAGCCAAAGACATGAACGAACGATGACTATTTTTCATCAGAGTTGAGCTCGATGGTTGCAAACGCTAGTTTTGGCGTTTGCGTTTATATGTATTTATTTATATACTCCATGAAAAAATACTTTTTCAATGTAAACGAAAAACGCCAAATAAAACGGAAAGTTCATTTTAAAAAGTACTAAAGTATTCATTTAAACGCAAACAAAAAAATCGACACGTCTCGAATTAGAGTGCTTAGAATCAAATTGGTAGCATGCTAAAAATGGTGTTGCTTTGGTTTCATCGGCACTCAATCCGGTTTTCAATAATTAAGGTTAAAAATAAATGTATTTCTATGTAACAAAAAGAGATATATATTTTGTTTTAATTGTTACTATCAAATACTAAAATTTAAAGAAATTTTACAAACTTCAGATACTAGATTATATAAGAACTCTTAATAAACTTTGAAAAAATATTGTAAACCTAAACTTAGTGAAAAAGTTGCAACTAAAACTTTTTATTTTTAAACTAAAACTAAAACTTGATTTAATGTATTTTATAGCATTTCTATTTCTAAGTACTAAAATTTGTAAAAATATGTTAAGTAATTAATTTCTCGGTTTTCATATATATTAAGGCATATACGACGACCAAGAAAAAAAAGGCAAATACGACGAAATAAAAAATTTATCTAATAGAAACTTGACATGTCATTTTTTAAAGGGATTACATTTTACAATAATTTAGTTGCAAATCAAGAGAATTTTAATATTTAAACAAGTTTTTTCATATATATACATATTATTTTATTTTGCATATCAAAAATAATTTTGTTCAAATATAGTTAAAATAATAACAAATTTATAGTGTCAAAAGAATAGTTGGAAAACAAAAGGGCTGTTTCTGTTATTATTGTAATTTATGGGTAGTAATGTTGGAAAATTAACTTTTTGTTTTCGTCTTCCCCAAAAGTACCCAATTTGCCCAAATTTGACCCTCACATTTTAGCTTTCTGTCTTTTCACCAGATTCTCTCTATCGATTTCTCCTTACTTCTTCTTCTCGCCTCTCTGCTTCGATCAGATCTCAAATCAATCGGATCGATACCACAACTTTATCAATTATGACTCTTGGCTCTGGAGGATCTAGTGTTGTTGGTAAACAATTTCGATTCTTTCGGGTTTGTTCTCGTTTTTGATTTTTTTTCTAGGGTTTTGGAATTATCCCTCGTTTGATTTTTTTCTCTAGGGTTTTGCAGAATTCGTATTGGGTTTTATTCGTTTTGATCGATTGGTGTTGAGAATTTCTCATAGGTTTTATCGATCTAGTATTAAAAAACTGTTCTTTGATCTTTTGCCTTACTTGTTAATTTGATTGTCTCTGCTGATTCTTTGTCTAAATCTCATCATATAGATTGATCTGGATCAATTATGATTTACTGATGTCCCAATTCTTGAGAAGGGTTTAAAATGCGATTCCTGAGTCTCTGATTGTGTAGAGTGTTTGCTTGTTTCTAGGACCTTACTTAGCAAGTTTTCATCTATCTCTAGAGCTCATTGTTGTTCTTCTTGAACTTTGTTGTTGTTCTCTGCTTTGATTAGAAAAAGTGATTGCTTGTTTCCATGTTTTCATTTACCGAAATTTAGCGATATGAATTTTTTTTTTGTTATGTTTGTTATTGCAATATAGTTCCGAGGAATTTCCGGTTGTTGGAGGAGCTTGAACGTGGGGAGAAAGGTATTGGGGATGGAACTGTGAGCTATGGAATGGATGATGGAGATGACATCTATATGCGGTCTTGGACTGGCACCATCATCGGTCCTCACAACGTAGTTATATCTTTTTCTTTATCTGCTAACATTCTCCTTCGTCTTCATATATGTTAGCAATTGTTTTAAGAAGCATTGATTAGTGTTCTTTGCATCACCGTACCTACTTGTCCTTTACTCCATGCTCGGAATACAGAACATCGAAACCACATTGTTTTCTATGCATTGATCTTATCGACATACAATCTCTTAAGCTTTTTTAGCAGATTAGGCCATTGTTGCTTTTGCTTGTAGTAACAGGTACCAATTTTTTGTCACAGACTGTTCATGAAGGTAGAATTTATCAGTTGAAGCTCTTTTGTGACAAAGATTACCCGGAGAAACCTCCAACTGTCCGATTCCATTCACGTGTTAACATGGCTTGTGTCAACCACGAAACCGGAGTGGTACGTATAAAATCACCACCGCCCTTCCATTCTCTGTCTTGTTCCTTTGGATGCTCTGTAACTTTTTTATTCGTGTGTATAGGTGGATCCTAAGAAATTCGGGGTACTTGCAAACTGGCAAAGAGAGTACACAATGGAGGATATACTGACACAGCTGAAGAAAGAAATGGCCACGTCGCATAACCGTAAGCTTGTTCAACCTCCAGAAGGTACATGCTTCTAGTTGCTTCTGGAATCTTCTTCTGGTTTGCTGGAATATCTTTGCCCCTTCTAATACTACAGTATGTATCTGGGGGTCTTCCATTGTCGTTCTCAAGGTTTTATTTTAATTCATCAAAAAATGGTCTATGTGGATGGTAGTATGGTGATGATGATGATGTTGTTCAATTGATCATCTGAAGTTTTATCATTGTGTGCAAATATCAAAAACAGCTTCTTCCCCACTCCATATGTGTTCAAATCTTTTGAATTTAACTTTCTTTTATCCTAACATTTTGTGTCAGCCCTTTTGTCTAAATGAAATCTGCTAGATTTTATTGGTTGTTTGTTATGTAATGTACCAAGGTTACCTTCAACAAGAAAGTAACATAAAAAAAGTCATGAATCTTCAAAATCCGAACCAATGAAAAAAGAAGCCATGAACAGCTTCGTAACCCTTATTTTTGTTTTTGTGATTCAACTAAAGCTAATGTTTACGGTGAATATCAGAACCTTTGAAAACGTAGTGCTGGTTTTTTTCTACAATTTCGTCAAACTCGAAATTAGCACCCTTTTTATTGATGATGATGCACATGTACATCGGTCTTCATGTACTTGTTGATGTTCCGCGTCATCGTTCTTGATTTAGCATCTCCGTCAAGAACCAAGTATTCGACATAGAAAGTAGAAACAATCAATCTTCGAAATATAGACCTCTATTTTTCTAATTAGGACACTGTTTAACTTGCTTGAATTTTTCACAGTAGCCTAACCATAAACAGACTCCATAAACGTTGATTAAGAGTGGTCTTCGAAAACCAAATAATTAAATAAATGAAAAAAGTGGTTGAATGTAATTAAACCTATAACACATTTACACCTTTGCTCAGAGACTCAATTAATTATGTTTCATCAGATTTCAAGCCCAAAACATTAACACTCAGGGCTGGATGATCCAGCCTGGATCTTATGGTGATAAATGTAATCTCTATAGTTTTTTTTTTTTTTTTTTTGTAAAAAATCGTTTCTAGTTCTACAATAAAGAAAAAAGAAAAGGAAATTTCTTTCACAATATATGATATAGTTAGAGATTATAAAATGCGTTAAGTATATATATATAGATTTGACATTCGGTTGTGCGATGATGACAAAATAAACAAGAAATAAAGAAATAAATGTGACGGTGTCCTAAGTAAGAACTTTGGATCCAAACAACAACTTAGTGGGTGAAATATTATATATCTTCAAAAGCAAGTACATTTAGTTTACTAAAATTTTAGAAACATTACATATTTACATGTACATTACTATCATATATAAATATGCTTCAATTGGTATTTGAAAATTTAGATTCCACGAAATGTAGAGATATGTGAAAAGTTGTGTTTCAAACTTTGCATGATGTTTAGGATCATATACGCATAATCCAATGCCTTTTTATCTTAAGTAAAGTTGTCAACTAATAAATATGGTGACATTCTGAAATTAAAATTCGGAGATCTACTGTTACATCCATATTTTAACATTTGTGTGTCGACTAGCTTTAAAGGAACATTAAAAAGAATATAAATTGTGATAGGTACGGTTATTATTATGTTCACCAAAATTAGACGGACCGCAGACGAATGGACAAATAATTGTTATGGTTGATAGATAACTATGTACGACCAAAGTAAAATTATGGATCAGCAATGTAACATGGTCAACGATGTTTTCTAAACCTAAACTTATAATCCTATAACCCTTGTTTACTTTAATCAAAGTTATACTTTTAGGTTCAACAATAAATACGAAGTATCTCATTTTGTATTTATACTCCCCTAAGTATATTTCTCATTTTGACTCCAACAAAAAAAAAACGATAACAAACAACAAAGGGGAAAAAAAATGAAAGTCCCATTTTTAAACAAGAGCTTTTCATCTTCATGTTATTCAAATTCAGATTCATCATCATGGGCATGGCCTTCTTGTCACCAAAACCCTAGAACACAATCTTTCAGAGTCACCATCAGTGCAATCAACCCTATTGACGTCGAAGATGAAGAGGACGAGGAGGATAAGGAAGAGGAAGAGGAAGAGGAGGAGAAGGAAAAGAGGGAGGAAGGAAAGGAAAAGGAGGAGGAAAATCTGCTTCCTGACATCATTATCTCCTCCCCATCCTCTTCCATCTCATCCAACATCGACGCCATAGAAGAGCTGCCGGAGACCGAATCCATAGAGAATGTGATCAAAGGGATAAAATCATCAAAAAGACTCATCTTTGAACGTAAAGGAGAATCGAACTCTATTCTTGAAGAGATGAGGAACAAGGATTCATGCTCTTGTCCTTGGAATCCAACTACACTTTCTCTAATTTCAAGTGGTTCATGGTGGAGGTGGTTGCGGTACACTCGCTTCATCGCGGCTACATCCAATTGTATCGTGAAAACTACTGAATAGATCATTGATATATACTCGATAAGTTGTGATGAGAAAAGAAGCAAACATGCACAAATGCACTTGACGGTTGTCCTTGGTTAGAACATGTTATGTTTAGAGTGATTGATGCGGACAGAAGAGATCACTTTCCGAGCTTTCATCTTATGTTATGTGATCAATTAGAATATTCGTGAAATCTTCTTTCGTTGCTTTCCATGCGTGTGACTCATGCCTGATATAGCTACGGTACATTTTTTTAAAAATTAATATATTTTTGTAGTTGTTTACTTATCAAATAGAACAGATTTTTCTTTTCCCAAACAAGACAAAACCCATTGGTTTATACTTTGTATGTAGAATAGATTAGTTCCAGTGATTCCATCATTAATATTTACACACATACAATTTACACATCTAGAGTCCTGATTTAACAAAAATAGTTATTTGCAAATAAATTTCATTGAACTGCTTTGTGTTACAAATACAAACCAATAGATTGTACGACCCTGGTCATAAATCCCATTAATTGTCTTCGATACACTTGATTGGACTTAAATCTTAGTTTTTTTTTTTTTTTTTTGACGAAAGCTGCAACATGATCGGTAGTTGAAAACCCTTAATTTGACTATTTCTATCAACATATGACTCTTCTGCAGAAAATTTCTAACTAATTATATGCATGTAACTGCTAAAACAGTGAATAAAAAAGTGAAAGTATATTTACTATTATCTTTTTAACTTTTTTAAACTGCTTTATAAGATTCAGGATAACATTATGTTTGTGGGTGACACAAGTCTGTCCATTTAGACTTTTGTCTCGCTCTTATTTTTGTTGTTGTATTCCTCTCTTCTCACTTTATTGCAGTTGTGTTTTCACTTATTCTTTATCTGCTAAGTGATCATTATAACCGGTTATAGTCAACTAATTTTGATTATTTGTTCATAAAATAAAATCTCTCGTTTTCCCACTTGTTTTCTTGTCGTTATTCACACACTTCAAATCTTGAAAATAAATACCAACGTTAAACTATTTGGGTTGGGCACTTGGGCTCAGACCAATATTTGTAAGCTAATTTTTTTTTTTTTTTGACGTAGATCAATCAAAGTTTCTTTTTTGACGTAGATCAGTCCAAATTTCTTTTAGATATGTTCGTATTCAAGCCGTACCGGCCAAGTCGATGGCCACGATGCTTTAACTTTTAAGGTCCTAGCATTAAAGCAGTATCAGATTTGGGAAAGAATTATTATTAAAATTTGGGAAATGTTTCACTTGAAGCGACTGCCACAGAAATTATAAAATTGTTTAGCATCGACGTCTTTTTTTTTTTTTTTCCGATCAAACTCCGTATATTAATTTACGGATAAGAACTCTCTTCTATATAGAACCAGTCGGGTACCGTCAAACTTACATGGAAAAAATAAAACATGCGAACTCTTGCACATTTTGCTAGATGATCGGCAGAGGTATTACCACTACGAGGGATATACTTAATACTAAACATAGAAAATAAGTCTCTGTAATACACAAAATCCCTCATCTCTGTAGCAAAAGTATAGGCCACTCTTCAGGACTAGAAGTCATCTCAATAAGATCCGAGCAATTCGTCAAAATGAGGATGCTAGGATGCTAGTCATCGGAATCGCAAGTAGACACTTCATCGTCCATAGCATTGACGTCTTATATTTTGATAGTTAGTTGGTTCCTTCGACTGTTCGTTGAGGGTTTTTTTTTTTTTTATATACTTTTATTATTCTCTTTTAATTAATTTGTGTTATTTTTAAAGTGTAGGATACGTACACGTACATACCTAGATATTAATATATGTTTTAAATTCGTTGTTCTCCTTTCAATTTACAATCTTTAGATCTTCGTACTATCTTTAGGTCTAAAACATTACGTTACACTAACACTGAACATTTATTAAAAGGTCTATCTTTTATAAAATTTAATAAAAAGACTACCAACCAAAGGCATGATCGGCTTAGTGGTAATATTATGATCATGACAGATATTTTCGGTTGGTACAGGTATCAAGTTTCAATTAACTACTTTGGTGCTATTGTTGAATTCATTTATTTTGGAGATCGTTTATGTCATGTTGTTGTATCTATCTATATTAACAGTTGCCTGACAATCTTTAATAGAAAAATTAATCAAACATTGATGTTGGTTAACTTTGACAGACAGTACGTAGTTACGTTCCATATCCATATATACGAAATTATGTCCATCCATAATCCATTTCCTAAAATTTAATGTGTTTAACAATGATATATTTTTAAATTTTAAAATGTTAATATTTAAATTAAATTAAAATCAAATATCATATCATATTTTTATCCATTTAAGATAAAATTACTTAATTTTTGACAAAAAAAAACAAAAAACAAAAAATTACTTAAAATCCCTTATATATTAATAGAGAAACATTTTTAAAAAAAAACCTTACCATCATGTGTTATTAACAAGATTGCCACGCTGATGTGTCGCTCTCACAATGATTTGGCTTCTATTTAGATAATTATCCAAAATTTATTAGACTATTTACAGAATTTGCCATTAGTCTCATACATCCATATATCCCATTAATAATTAAAAACATAAACTTTTTGATTATCTTATATTACTATATTTTTATATTTATATTTTTCTTTATATACATTTATATAAAAAAAATTTAGCGGATAGGTAAACAATTTTTTTTATTTATATTTATATTTATATGTATGTTTATATTTAAATGATAAAATATATACATTTGGTTCAAGAATCTCGAATTCAAAACTACAAAATCTTTACATCTTTCATAAAATTTTTACTTAAATAAATAAGATAATCTCCTTTCTATATATGTTACGAATACTTAAAATCCTATTTTTTGGAGGAGTTCTAACTTTTCGAAGAAAAACATTATAACCACATTTGTATATAAACCAAAATCTGGCCACATTATAACCATTTCGTAAATAATCCATTCATAATCTAAGAATCTTAGATTTGGAACACTACAAAATCTTAGCTTGCAAACTATCAAATCTCATCTTTGCTAAATTTTGGATTTCTTATACTTATTAAAAAAAAAAAAATTCTTTTTATACTACAAAATCTCGAAATCTTTAAAACATACGGAAAGACATATTGCCATAAATGGTAACATTTCGTCAATACTTTTTTATCACGTTGAAGCTTTATTCAAGGTTCAAATATTTCACGGGTAAAACATATTCTTATATGAAATAGTCCTAAATTTGAATAAAACAAAAAAAAAATTGTAAGTTTTGAATAAAGCAAAAAAAAAATATCGTGTATCACTTCATCCTAAATTTGAAAAAAAATTTGTGCACATATAAATTTGAAAAAAATAGTCATTTGTGCATTTATAAATTTGAAAAAAAAATAGTCCTAAATTTGAATAAAGCAAAAAAAATTTGAATAATTTTAATCATAATAATTTTACTTGAATCACTTCATCCCGCACGATGTGCGGGTTGTTATCTAGTTACCATATTATGCATGTAGTTATCGTGTATTTGATTTGCAAACAGTGACGAATTTGTGTACACACGTACAAAAACAAAAATTGTGTGCTGCTAATGGAAAAAAATATCAAGTGCATGAAAAAATTAGTTTAAGTTTTAAAGTGATTCTATATACTTTCAGGATTAATCCATGTATTAATAAATAAATAAATAAATGTTAATGTTATATTCTAAAATTTCAAATATATCCCTTTAGATTTTGAATATTCAAATATCAAATTGTTATAAATACACAGAAAATCTAAACCGGGAAAATGTACTTACAAAAATTGAATGATCCCCAACCAAACAACAATAAATTTGGTGCCAATAATTAAATACACTAACCAAAAAAAGATTTAATTTAAAAATCAAAATAAGTCAAATAAAGTTTCTTTTCCCCACCCATCCTTTCGTGCAGTCTCTCCTCTCCTTTTCAAAAGCCTTAAAATCTTCCTTCCCTCTCTCACCATTAATTCCCTAAAATTTCCTATAATTTTGAATCCAACCCCAAAAGAAAAGAGAAATTTACATTCTTGTCTTGTCTAATATTTTCTCAGCAACCAAACAACAAAAGAATAATGGTAAGGAAAATGAAATTCCCATTTCTAAACAAGAACACTTCATCTTCATCATTTTCTTCAAATTCATCATCTTCTTCCTCTTCATGGCCATGGCCTTCTTGCCATCAACAAAACCTTAAAACAACAATATCTTCCAAAGCTTCCTTCATCGTTAACAAACCTAAACATGTCTACGAACCCGAGCCACCACCAAGAAGCTTCTCCTCATCCCCCTCCTCCTCCTACTCCTCCTTCTCCTCTACCAGCCATGCCTTGGAAAATCCTCCGGAGATAGAGTCTATAGAGAATGTGATTAAAGGGATAAAATCATCGAAAAGACTCATATTCGAACAGAGAGGAACATCGAACTCTATACTTGAAGACGCCACCAAGAGAGAAGATCACGAAGAAGAAGAAGGCTTCATGCTCTTGTCCTTGGAATCAAACGATCCTTACTCTGATTTCAAGAACTCCATGGAAAAGATGGTTGAAGCACATGTGCTTCATCATGACTGGATAAGCCTCGAGAAACTTCTCTTTTGGTTCTTGAAAGTCAACGTCAAGACCAGCCATAGATACATCTTCGCCGCCTTCGTCGATTTGGTCTTAAACTTAGCAGTAGGACCTTCTAAAGATGTCGCCGGAGAGCCTAATTCCGACGTCGTAGTCGAGGATTCTCTTTCATCATCGTGGCCGGTCTCCTTGTACTCATCCTCTGATGAGACCTCGTCGACGTCCGTACGATTCTTGCCGGAGACTTCGATAGGCGAGAAGAGTAGAGACGTTTGTTGTTTATCGTCATTGTTTGAGTTAGAAGAGAAGATTAAAGAAAACATTGATTGAAATGGTTATGTATCTTCTTAATTCCTTTCATTTGATAATATTAATATATATGGATACTCACTTCTTCTTTTACTCGGATTCAAAATTACGGAGGTAACATCGATTACACGTGTACATCTTTTGTATCACGATGCAGAAAATCTTTTGTTACACGGAGGTAACCCTAAAAAAGAGGCTATTGATCAACAAACTCTTGTTGCTCAAAAAAAAAAAAAAAAAAAAAATCAACAAAAGGCCTTATTTGATGGGCTGAATAGAAATTATATAATGGGCTATAAAGGCCTTGTTTGGTTATGCAGTTGTTTACTTCTTTTTTTCCAGGTCAACTTTTCTGTTTTTTTGGGTTAATTTTCTGCTAATTTTCTTTTTGTCAAATTAGTAACCATTTTTAGCGCAGGGACCTTGTATATCTCTGAGCGTTAAAAAGATCTTTATATAAATCAATGGCTACGATTCTGGCGCCATATCCATACAACCAAGATTGTAGCTCTCTAGTAATCGTTCATCACCATGGCTGATAGAGATGGTATGGTGCACAGTTAAGCACTAGGATCTTGATATGATTTACACTGATTTTGGTCGCTACGGCCATAACGATAATTAACCCTGTGACTAAGCTCAAACAGCACTCTTGGCATGTAGCTCTTGTCTCCAATGCCTGATGGTCCATCACTCTTCTCCGAAGCTCGGTAGCAGTCTCTTAAAGTGGCCAGATTTTCTTGAGAGCCGGATGAAGTCGCATTTCGTGATCTGTATAATTTACATCCCCAACAACAATGGGCATGTTTCAGCAATTGTTCCAGCTGGCATATCAGTTGTACCTAACGAATGCTTCGTAATGCTTGCCATTTCGGTCATTGTTGGTCCAGCATCATTCGCTCTTCCATCATTCATCATCATTATTGGTTAACATGTTTTATGCCTTCTGATTCCATGGCAACCCATATTTTAGTAGCAAGACATCAAACATTTGATCTGATATTCACCTGTTACCATCCAATGTTAACACTATACTTTCAGTGTCAGCGTTACAATCAATAAGCTTTCATGAATCAAGGACTAAGCGACCATTATTGTAAGTTATGATAATAAACGAAACTGAGAAGCTACAAACATTGTATGTTCAAGCATTGCGGAAATTAAAGAATGACTCACAATATCAATTGTTGCCGTTTCTAATGGCATCCGGCTTCCAAAAGCACGACCTTTTTCTCTGCAAAAAATTTAGAAAGATATTGGTACACACCTATTTTACGCGTGCATATACATTTTCCCACCCATCTAAAGATATCACAAATAAAAAGTCTAAATGCTAGATCATTTAGTGAGCTAACCCAAGATATTGTCTTTGAGTGCTATGTTTTCAGTATGTGTTGCAACAAATTGTGACCCAAATGGTTTAGAATTCTAGCGGTCATAAACCACAATTTGTAAGCGAGGAAGAAAATCAAACATCCTCACATATAACAGGCAGTAGAACTAGTTGAACTTGTTACATTGGTATCAAGAAAGAAGGCAAAAGTACATTGGTATCTTACAAGAACACGTATGTCATCTGTAATTGAAATGAATACCCCTTCTCAGTATTAGTCAGCCAGAAGTCAACACTTGCTCAATTCCTTCATCATTCAACCAAAGAAGCACACATATCAAAACAGCAAGTGTTTGCAACAGTCGTAGCACACATATCAAAACAGCTAGTGTTTGCAACGGTCTTATATTTCTTCCAACTGAACTGAAACATTGTTTCAATATTGGAAAGCAATATATGTACGCTCATGGAAGACTCACAACGAAGGCTACAGAAATAAACGAGGGAAAAAAGACAGCTCAGTAACAGTTTTCTGCAACATACCACAATAGCTGGAGCCCTTCCCATTCCAGCAGTGCAGTACACTGTGCACGTATGTAACTTCTCCATTTTGCTTAACAGCTTTGTACAGTGTACTAACCACGGCAGGAAGAAGCATTCTCAAATCAGATACATCAAAATCTCTGTTACATCAAAGATTACAATACGTCAAGCCCTACATTGTGAGTGAGTGCGTTCATGGTGAATTTTCTCAATGCATGTACTCGTGAACAGTGCCATACATGTCATATGTGAAAAGTGATGACGATGGTTCCAAGTCTTTAGCAGTAAAGACAATTAGTGAGAATGGGATGGTGACTAACTTTCACAATTTTTCTAGTTTGCCAACAAAACAAGGTGGACAAACAAAAACGGTCATTGATAGCAGTGATTTTGTCATAAATCACTGCTTACAAAAATCAGTTATTGCTTACAAAAAAGTGTACTGAGCTCCCATTTTGTCACGAAAAAGTGATTAGAGTAGATAGCCCCAAGAGATAAGAAAGTATAACACTTAACTAACCAGAAAAATAAGGAATTTCAAGATTTATGTTCCACCAGCCATCTAAAGATATCACAATTATAATGACTAAATGCTAATACTATTTGATGAACTAACCCAAGCTTTTATCTTTTGAGAGCTATATTTTCAGTATATATTACTGCAAAACGTGATCCAGTGGTCTAGAAATCTAATTATCATAATCATTGGTTCATAGGAGAAGAAGCAAATTCCGAAGCATCCTCACATAATATAACTGGCAGTAACACTAGTTTAACATGCTGGGTTATATATCAAGGAAATCATGTAGAGAGAACATAAACTAGAAGTACATTAGTATCTTACTATAAGTAAATTATGAGCTTCCATAAGTTTATAGTTTTGCACCCAGAACATGTAAGTCAACTGAAACTGAAAATACTCTTCTCAATATTAGTCAGCCAAAAGTCAACAATTGTTCATTCCTTCATTAGTCAACCAAGAAGTACAAATATTAACACAACTAATGTTGGCAACAGTCTTAAATTTCTTCCAACTGAACTAAAAAATTGTTGTTTTGATACAGGAAACCTATACATCTACACCCATGAAAGACGCACAATGAAAGATGTGCTACAAAAATAAAAGGGAGAAAACGAGAAGAGACAGTAACAGGTTTCTGCAACATATCGCAACAGCAGGAGCCCAAAACAAAAATCATATCGAAAAATTCTCCAACTTCCCATTCAAGCAGTACAGTGCACGTATGTAACTCCTCCATTTCGCTTCACATCTTTGTACAGTGTACAACCATGGCAGGAGAACTTATTCTCAAATCAAATGCATCAAAGTCTCTATTACATCAAAAGATTTTAATATGTCAAGTCCTAGGTTGTGACTAGTCTATGCATGCTCCTGAACAGTCTCATATATGTGAAACGATATAGGTTCCAAGTTCTCTAGCAGCTAAAACAATTAGTAAGAACGGGATCATGACTAACTTCTGCAATTACTCTCATTTGCAAACAGACAAAGAGGTAACTGACAACAGAGACTTTACAACTCCTCGAAACAAAAAGTCATTCGCCGTTCTTGAAAAACCAATTATTGCTTGCAAAAAACTGTACTGAGCTCCCATTATGTCAAGGAAAAATTGGTAAGAACAAAGAGCCAAGAGAGAAAAGGAAAATGTAACAATTGACTGATAAAACAATAGGAATTTGAAGACTTCTTGCTCTGACACTACCCTCCAACGATGCATAAACCCTTGTCCCCTTGGCTATGCAGATAATACTGAAGAAAATAAACTCCCTACCTCATAGGCTTCTCACAATTCCTAATTAAGCAAAAAGAAAGGTATACTTAAACGGGAACTAAAAAAGAGCTCTCATGATCTACCCCTCAATCAATTACGCATTAGTTGGTGCCAATCGATCACAAGTTCACAGCCAAATCATCAAAAATCATAAAATAAGGCTTGCATTACCAAGGCCTTAACAGCAAAATATGCTGACTATCACCACATTTCTTAGCATATACTGAGTATCACCGCAATGCAAACCAAAATATGGTTTTCAACCCAAATTCCGTAAAACTTGCCAACAGCCTTAGGGATCTAGCAAACAAGCAGAGCATATAGAAAGAACGCCAAGAAAGTAACACAGCTCCAAGAGATTCAATATATTTCACAATGGGATAAGAGAAAAACCTGTAAGAGTGATCCAACAAGTAAGTCTGGACGAATGAAGTTTGTAGTTCATTCCTAATTCGTGACAGTAAGTTATAACTGAAATGAAAACACACAAGAATCAATCAGTGGCTGAAGTGCATAGTTAAAGGAGAAGAAGAAAGTTGAGTAAGCCAATGAACAAGCAAAAAAAAAAGATTAGGATTCCTTGGCGGGCATATTGACAAAACTAATCTAGATAAAACTAGAATACAATCTAAAGAACCAAATCATAAACTTGTGAGTTTTGTTCTTCAAATGACCATTCCTGTATATACAAACGATAGACAAAAACAGGTACCAATAGAGTAAATAAACCCATAGCTTGAATCATATCTTGGCTCTATTCATCAGATTTCTCTTCTCTCCTCGAAAATTACTCATCTCCAAGTGGAACCTTAAATCAATCTGACAAGTTTCATACAAAGCAATCAACAAGACTCAAATTTTGAAGAAAAATGAATCTAGTCAATAATTCTCTTATGATTCTACTACCTTATTTCAAAAATTATCTCATGATTAAACGAATCGAATCAAGAACCCAAATCTAGATAATTTCTGAAAAGCAAGAACAAACCTGGGAAGATTCTGAAAACGAAGCTGCTCTTCTTCTTCACTCCTCCTAATTCGACGATAAACATTGTAGAGAAATATGATTGTGGAAAGTGTGTAATTGTGAGTTATATGGAGGGTAATATTGTCTTTTCATAGTTACCGAATAATAAAGAAAGAAAAAAATGAAAAATCTACATATTAATAGAAAGGTTTTTGTTTTCGCTGTGAAGTTAGTTCGCGCTTATCATCCATCGTCTTCTTCTTCATCATCATCCACTTCTACAACAATGGCGAACATAATGACTGAAGTCAACATTATGCTTTACGAGCTATTTCTCTTGGAGACTGGGGTATATTCGAATCCGTTTCTCGATTTCGATTTTGCTTGCGTACAACTCGTTGATTCTTCCTTCAATCTTGTTTGTTTTTGATTCTGTTCGATTCGAAGATCAAGCCTATTTTATTGTGTATACTCGCCTGGATTTCGAATAACGTTTGCTTAGAACGATCGAATGTGAAACCTCGAAGCTTAACACGAACTTGCGTTTGATTCTGTTCGAATTTGTGTATTTCCGCTTTTAAGACTTAAACTCTTGAGACTTGTGGATTTGGAGTACTAAGAATGATGAATTTGTGTGCGATTTATTCTGTAATCTGTTCGAATTTGTTGTGTTTGATCCTCTTGCCTTGTGGATTTGGAGTACGTAGACCGATTGAATTATGAGAAATGCGAACCTTCGTGCGATTGATTCTGTAATCTGTTCGAGTTTGTGTGTGTTTAGCATCTTGCCTTGTGGATTTGAGTACTTAGACCGATTGAATGAGAAATACGAACTTTTGTGCGATTGATTCTGTAATCTGTTCGAGTTTGTGTGTTTGAGCTTTCTTGCCTTGTGGGTTTTGATGAATCTTTGTATGTTTGAGCCTATTTTCTTGTTGTTTAGGATGTATCTTTGTATGTTGGAGCCTCTTTCCTTGTGGGTTTGGATGAATCTTTGTGTGTTTGAGCCACTTGCCTTGTGGATTTGCAGGAATTTATCTTGTTTATTCACATTCATCAGATTTTTATTTACTCAGAATTAGGAAGGAGATATGAATATGAAATATTAAGATATAGACTAAGCTAAGTAAGCATGGCTCAAATACGTTATCGTTCTGTTTGCAGATGATTCTTGTAACTCCTCCTCTCTGATTTTGCAGATGAATGTGTGCACCTGGGTACAAGAGAGACTTGCAGCTGGTGATAGGCTTTCTGTCCATGCTTTCTTGAGGCGCCTTACCGGAACCATTACTGATGTCGAGAAAAAAGAAATGGTATATTTAGTCTCTCTCCCTCTCTGGATCTCTCTCTCCAACTCTCTCTCTCAATGGAATGTGTGATGTTATTATGCAGGTGTCGAGAATCCTGAGAGACCCGTCCATCGTCGTCAGCAATCACAAACGTTTCTAGATGTAAGGCTCTTCTGCCCGATACAGTAAGGAAGAAAACATATGCCTTGAGACTTTCTGGTTCTTAGAATGTAAATCCATCATCTTTGGATCGGCTGTTTCATTTCTGAGAGCTGTAACTATCTGAATCATCAAACTATCCTTTTTCATTCCCGGTATAGTGTCCACTTTTGCTCTGACATTCTTACATTTTCCTGACTGTTATATAACATAAAAGGTTGCAGTGTTTTCATCTTTGCATTCATTTCTCATATACCATGCATTTAAGCTCAATTTTAAGAGAAATCAACAAACAGCTTCGTATATACTTAGAGAAGTACTAGGAGATGCTCTGAAAAATCCTGCATTAGACATAGAATGCAACAGTAAACAAGGTCTTGGTGACTTCATTTTTAGAATGCAACAGACTATATATAGCATCCAACAGTAGGCAAGCTTCTGCAGTAGAAATTGCGTTTGAGTATGCTATTGCTATATGTATGTTACTTGAAGATTTAAGATGAGATGTAGGATGCCCAATCTTAACCTGTGACCAAAAATATTTCAAGAAACGATTAAAAAAAATTACAACAAGCTGATACAAAACGTAAGATAATCTTTTTTAGGTCTCGAAATCATGATGCTCCCAATATCAATCATCCCATAAAATCCTCTCCAAAAACCTGCTTATCTAGAACCATATCAGATAAGAGTTACAGATGCTAACTAAAAAATCCTGCATCAGTCATTATATAACCGAATCAGGATAATCATGAAGACTATTCTGTTCCAGTATTCAAATAGATCATTCCAATGTACTTGGAAAAGCTTACCTCAGTTCAGTCATTAAAGTACCATTACTTATGGATGTCGCCAATCACAGCATATTCACAACCACCGTTACTTTAGTATCAGCAAATCTTACATCTACTGAAGCAGGATCTCTCCAATTTTCTTTTCCATAGGGAGAAATATATGATTTGGCATTTGACAAACAATGACTTCACTCCTGTTTTATTCACGAACTTGCTTGAGTGCAAAGCAAGCAACTTTCATCACAGCTCTTGATACATTCATATACAATCCTTGCTTTCCATCTCGATCTTCTCTCAACTCCATGCTCTTGTAACTTATGTCCTCCATGCCTTTACGAGTTCCTACCAGCTGTTTTAGAGTGTTCCACCATGCACGCATCCTTCAAGTATATCTATAAGATAATGGAAAGAATATACGCTGTCGGATATGGTAGGCATTGATGGGAAAATTTCTACAATAATTATTATCTACCTATATCTTTATATTATCTCTTGTCCTGGTTTATTCTTTCTTCAGGTGCTTGACGCTGCAAAACTTCTTCACATAAAGGAACATTCTGTTATTGACGCATCTGAAAATGTCTTCAAGTTGTCTGCATGCACTAGTAGAGTGCAATGGGAGTATTGAAAGTGATAAGTGTTAACAGGCATTATCTCTTAGACTTGATGAGAGAGACGCCTCGTGACGCCAATTATATATACGGTCCAGAGTCGTGTTTTTGTGTCATAAGACCGAAACTGATCACGTCATTTTGCCAGGTTCATTATATTTTAGAACCTTATTCACACACGTAAATCATATCATTTTCTCAATAATCAGTTTGTTTTCGTGATTGAGAAACCATTTCCTATGGTAAGATGTACTACTCATGAGACACATGAAGTCAATGCAGGCACAAGTGAATGGGTTCATGTAGGCATATGTACATTTTTTTATTTGTTTTTGGTATATGTACATTTCATTCCTAGCTTTGACTCCATTGCTGCTATGGAAGGCCAAACTGCTAAGCATCTTCCACACATTGTCTCGAGATATTCAACCACTGTCATGTTAATTAGTTAGCTTTCTACTTGTGTGCATCTTCATCTTCCTTATGTTGTGTTATCATCTCTTCTCTAATCACTAAACATGTGTATCAGGCGTAATTTATAAGGTGCTCTTTAGAGCTCTTGTTAAGTTGAGAACATGCAATGCTGCTTGAGTATACATGTGGGATAAAATAGGTGTACAATTTGTAGGTTGACAGTTATGGTATGTATATATAACCCAATCTTGGGAGCTTTAGAGCATGTGTACCTATAGTCTTTCATGGAGTCTCTCAACAAACAATAAAAAAATAATATTATTATATTATATAAATATAATTTTATTATTATTATATTAGATGGATCTTTTAAAAGTTGAGAGAGCTTTCGACTTTTAATAGAGACATAATAATATTTTGGCTTTGAATGGTAACCCATTATCAAAGCGGTACAGAATGTACAGCTTTGACAGTTACCAATCACAAAAATTTTATCAAAATCGTTACTAACAGTTTTACTCTCAGCTTTTTTGTACAGTTCTTTCTTACAGTTTTGCACTATTCCGATAAAGCTTACAGCTCCAGCTAATAGTTAAAAAACTTGTACAACTAAGAATAGAGAAAAATAGAGTATTTAGATTAAAACGTAAGATAAACTAGGTCTCCAAATACATGATGCTTTCAATATCATCCCAAAATGTTACATCCAAAAACTTGCATATGCAAAAACTATCAAATAAGTTCATTACTTGAATGTGTCTTGTTATCTTGTTCTTCTCCAAATCATAAATGACAGAGTATGGATTATGTATATTGATCTCTTTCGATGACAACCTAATTTCACAGCTGTGATTAGTGGCATGTATCAGCACCCCATTGGACATGGCAAGTGATCGCGTTTGAAAAATAGGCAAATCAATAGTCTTCTTGTTCGACCATTGACTCTTACCGGCATCTTTAACAACCCATAGATCCATGCTACCACTATTCAAAATACTTGAATATTCGAACACAGCTAATTTGCCTTTGTAATTCATGAGATTCGCAGGAGACGTGTTCCATACAATGCCAGCCTCAAGGGGTAATTCAATCAAAGTGAACTCTTCAGACCTCATGTCAAAACTCATAACAACACATCTATTTTTATCAAGCCAAGCTCCACAATACAAAACATTGTTGATGGAGATACCTTGTGAGTACGGACGATGAGGAGGAGGAGTAATGGTGTTTTGAGTGTTTCTCCATGAAGCTTCAGGACCAAGTACCAACACATGATGCTCGGATCTCACTACTCTCTCTTCTTTCGCTCATCTCCCAAACTGTGCTAAACACTTTGTATTCGTCGTGAACAGGGTCGTGCCCAAAATAGTTCCACACATTGTCAATAGGTTTAGCCACAGTTATTGGTCTTAAGATAGGTAAGGTCACATGTTGCCTGGTGGTGAGGTTACATATTCGAACTCTTGTCCCAATTCTGAAACACACCAACCCGCGAAGAGCGTTCACAAAGCAGCCTTCTATTCCACGCATGTCCAAATATTGGTCGAGATCAAAGACAGGGACAGAGTCATAAGGCGATATGACAGGGACAGAGTCACGAGACGATGAGACCAACGCATAGTTGTAGTTCATTTCCTTGTCCACCAAAGACATGAACAGGCGCCGTCCTTGCGTAGATGATGAAGATTTATGGAAAATATTGGTAAGATATCGAGAGGAGATTAAGGAGT